TGATCGTGTTGATACGGTGCGCGATCGTGATGATGGTGCGGTCCGAGAAGACGCTGCTGCGCAAAGTTTGTTGCAGAAGTGCGTCCGTTTCCACATCGACAGCCGCCTAAATTATCCGTTAGTCGTCGGCGTTTAACGCGATATGCCCGACGGCACTCAAAAAAAAAAAAAAAAAAAAAAAAAAAAAAAAAAAAAAAGCAATGACTTACTGTCGCCTCATCCAGAACGAGAATATTGCTCGGTGTTAGCAACGCTCTAGCAAGCGAAACTAGCTGACGCTGGCCTTGGCTCAGATTCGATCCTATCGTACGTTAGAACACGGATTCGCCGGAAACAGGGGCACCAGGGGCCATCGGGTCACACTTACCTCCTTCTTGAATTCGGGCATCTAATTGTCCTTCCATGCTAGCGATGTGGTCCTTGAGTCTAGCATGTTCCAGGACACTCCAGAGCTCCATATCGCCATGTGCATGTCGCGGGTCGAGGTTGTCTCTCAAGGTACCCTCAAACATAGCAGGATCCTGAGGAATAATCGCAAGGCGACCGCGTAGATCGAATAAACCAATCTTAGAGATGTCCAAGCCATCAATCTTGATACTACCATTGTCCGGCTCGATAATCCGGAAAAGTGCTAGAGTAAGAGAACTCTTTCCAGCGCCCGTGCGACCAACAACACCAATCTTCTCGTGAGGCTTGATGTCGAGGCTGATATCCTTGAGCACCAGGTCAAGTCCCGGTCGGTAGCGCGTGCTGTAATTGTTAAAGGACACCGCGCCCTGTCCTGGCCAGCCGATGGCCGGGCGGTTCTTGAACATGACTTCCGGTGCTTCGCTGGGAAGTTCGGCATACTCGAGAACACGCTCGACGGAGACAATGTTGGTTTCCACTTCCACCGTCTGGCGAATGATCCAGTTGAGAGACTGAGTAATCTGCAGAGCGTACGACATGGCCAAACCGACCATACCCGCAGACAAACCACTGCGGCTCGCAACGGACACGATGGAGAGCAGAGCAGACGACAGAATGACTATAGACCCAATGAACTCGAGTCGCACGGCCAGCCATCTGTTGACGCAAACCGACGGGAAGTAGGCACGGAGATTGGCATCCATGCGCCATTCGTTTTCAAGAGTGAATCGGTCCTCCTGCTTGTATGCCCGGATGGTCGACACTCCGCCCAAAGACTCCTGGAAGTGCGCGTAGATCGGACTCCGGCTAACGCTGTCCAGTCGCTTCAACTCGCGAGATGTCCTCAGGTAGTATTTCTGGTAGCTGAGATAGACGTAGCCCAAGGGGACAACAACCAGAAGGAACGCTGGGGTCGAAGAAGAAATGACGATCATAGTAAAGAGGGCTTTGGCGGAGTTTCCGAACAGCATGTTGAACGTACGAGCAAGGACTTCGTCAATACGATAGATGTCACTAGAAAACCGGTTGAGAATCCGTCCAGATGGCGTCGTCTCGAAGAAACTCATGGGAGAACGGAAGATTGAGAATGCCATCCGTTCATGCATCTTTCGCGAAGCCTCAATCGAGCAGAAAATCCAGAGAATCAAGTTCTGGAAAATGACCAACAGAGACGAACCCAATCCGAAAGCCAAGTACACTCCAATGAACTTGCCCACGCCCGCATTGTTACCTTGCCTCTCACTCGACTCGGAAAAGTACTTCAACCAGTAACTACCAGCAACCTGGCAGGTCTGCCCAGCCAAAAGAGCCAAGAGGTAACATCCGACCGCGATGACATTGCTGTTCTTGGCATATTCGAGGTAGACATCCCAGCTGACCTTGCCCTGCTGCGAGGTTTCCTGGGTCTGTTTGCTCTTGAGGGCGTTCTCTTCGTCGGCCACCTTGCGCTGCGGGCTGTGCCAACTTGCCATGCTAGCCCGGCGTAGAGTGACAGTGCTTTGCCTCCGAGCCTGACCGCCGGACCTGATAGGGACCAGGTTACCAACTTCTTCTTCGGCCTCATCTGCATCTGAAACTTCAGAGTCAGGGTTGTCAATCACCGTGGCGGAATCCGAGCTCTCAGGGCTAGCAAGGTTGCTGCCTTCACCTTCATCATCCGAATCGTTCATGGTCGTGCGGACGAGGTTCGCAACTTCGCCCTTCATTGCCAGCAGTTGCTCATAAGTTCCCTTCTCAATCAGGGTCTTATCACGCAACAGGCCAATGAAGTCGGCAGTCTTGAGAACCGGAATGGAATTCGTAGCCAGGATTCGCGTCTTGCTGCTGAGGATACCATCCTTACCAAGGACCCGGTTAATCAGATGGCGACCGACATGTTGATCAACCGCAGACAAGATATCGTCGAGAATGTAGATGTCCGCACGAGCATAAACGGCTCTTGCAAGGGTCAACCGGGCCTTTTGTCCACCGGAGAGTGAAATACCTCGTTCTCCAACTTCTGTCTGGTCACCGTCGGGGATGTTTTTGAAATCGTCGAGTAGAGCACAAGCCTCCACGGTAAGGTCGTAGAACTCAGGATCCCATCGGTGTCCGAACACGATATTTTCACGGACAGTGGCGTTCATCACCCACGATGATTGTGCGGCATAAGCAATGCGGCCTCGGACGACAACCTCGCCTTCCAACTTCCACAGATCACCGATGATCGACTGTAGCAGAGAAGACTTTCCAGAACCAACCCGACCAACAATACAGCTAAGTTCACCCTTGCGAGCGCTAAAGTCGATGTTGTCAATGACAGGAACTTGTTGGTATCTGTCCCAGGTAAAGGAAGCGTCACGAATCCGGACCGATTCATCACCAACGTGCGACACGGGGTCCTCAAAAGTCACAGCATCAGGCTGCAGTTCTTCGGCCGTGAAATAATCAGTCAAGCGCTTGACGGCCACCGAAGCTTCAATAATCGATGTGATGACAATTGGCAGAATGGAAAGCGGGAATGTGAGAATGTTGAATAGCGTCAAAGCAGGAAACACCACATCCGTACTCAACGGTTGGTCTCTGGTCAAAACAAAAACCGTAAAGGTAGAGCACGACACGAGGAATGGGGTGGATTGCCAGGAGAAGTTAGCAACCGCCTGCGTCGCACCGATTTTGCGAAGAGTGTTCAGTTCCAAGTCGTTTCGGATATGGCTGAGTTTGTTCATGAACGCGGTGTTCCACGCATAAAGCTTGATGCTCTTGATGTTGTTCAGAATCTCTGTCATCAACCGCGATCGCATATCCTTGTTCTTCATTTGCGAGATTTGGAGTTTCTTCATCATTCGGGCAATCGTGCCGTTCAAAGGAATCATGAGAATCATGACACCGATACCGGCAAACATGCTATATCCTACCAGCTGATAGAGCGAAACCATACATAAGACAATTTGGAATGGCGCCGACCAAAGCTGCGCGCCAAATTGCGTCAGGTCAGACAAGCGTTGCTGGTCAACAGCCATGTGGTTAACAATGTCGCCAGAAGTCTTGGATGCACGGCCTTCGCTCGACAGCTTCAAGGACTTGGAGTAGATCATGGCCGTCAGCGACGACTTAACCCGCATACCGGTGTCGAAGGCTCTCTGGAAGTATTGGTGAAGGCACAGGGTCTGCCCGATTGAAACTAGGAACATGGCGAGAGCAATCGCAATACCTTGGATGACCGGCCGAGGCTCATCTGTCCGGTACGAGTCGATGAAGTTAATCAGAACCCGCAGAAGCTGGGGTTGAACGAAGGCAAGGAGATCGCTTCCGCACTTGACGATGGCACCGTGGAAATAAGAGCCACCAAATGACTTGAACAGCGCGAGCCACAAAGACGGCTTCTTTTTTTTCAACTCTTGCTGCCAGCTCTCCTCCAAAATGTTCAGAGTCACGGAAGTTGTGTCTCGTCGGCGCAGAGTCCAAAGATCGTCTTGAGTGAGGTAGTTCTTATAGCCATATTTCATCATCGGGGTCAACCAGCTGAAGGTCAGGACGGAGAAAATATCCGCATAATCATAGGGGCATTCATCCTCCTCGCCCAACGCCTCGTAGGCACTCTGCTTCTTGGGAACAAAGTACTCCAGCACAAACTCCAGTATAGCCAATCCTAAGCTCACATTGAATGAGACAAAGTACGGGACGCGATTCTTATAAGCCTGTCGAGAAACGAGCGATCGTAATTTGATAGCGTACGCGATGATGAAGAAAACCCAGTAGAATAGAACGACAGCGTTCGGCTGCCGACTGCGCCAGTGTTCAAAGTATTGTACCACGAAGATCACACCCAGCGACGCGAGCGTAAGGATCGAGCTCCAGAAACGAAAGTCGGCCCACCAATTGTTCGGATAAGTTTCGACTTGAAGTGCGGCTTGGAGCGCTGTCGCGATAATCAATGCGCCCAACACGACCTAGATAGGAAAATTATGCGTTAGTCATGCCACTCCTCAAAGCTCTTTTACATGCACCCAAAGCAGTGTCTTGCGACTCACCAGTTTAGCGTAGAAATGCCAGTTTTTCGATATTGGTTGAGGAACGCGCTTCTTCAACAGGAACCAGATAGCACCAGATCCCATCAACAACCCAAATGCTGCAACAATAGCCACTCCGGCATCGAGGAAACACGGTGTCAGATCAAATCTGAAGGGGCTCATAGGTCCCCAACCCTCGACATCGCCGCAAAAAGCCTGTCGATGCTGGGGTTGGAATACCGCCTCGGGACTGGAAGATAACGGAGACGATCCTGGGATGGAATCCCCTAGGATCGCCTGGGAATTGCCATCGAGCATCTTTCGTAGAAAAACGTTCCCAGATCCTGAAATCCCTGGTCCTTCTCCTTTTTACAACAAAGAAAGGAACAGGAGGAAATGAATCCAGAAAGTCGCGGAGGCAAAGGACGTCAGCCGCAGGCGGTTACTAAGAAGAGAGCGGAATCGAAGCCCGGGGTTAAGATCGCCGTAGCTCCGATATGCTGACTAACGAAGTAGAGGTGAAGCTTTTTTTGCCGACGAAGGATTATTTGTTTGGAAGTTGAATGAATGGCTATTTTATTTTCATTTACAGCGCGTTGTACTTTCTACACCTCTTTCTACACCTCTTTCTACACCTCTTTACTCTGTAAATGCCCCAGAAACACTTGTTTCCAGCCAAGGCTTCGTCCGAGAATAGTGGAGTCTCGATCAGCGTCACATGACGTCTATCCTGCATGGAGAATATTTCTTTTGGCGGTAAGCGACCATATGGGATACCATCAAGAGTAGCAATCGTTGTGATATTGTCACTATATACGACCAAACAACAGGGTACCAATTATCCCAAAGTAACAAACATCGAAGTGCCCAGCCGCGGGCGACATATCGTCACCAATCACAATCGGCCGGATTCCGGCTTGGGCTCATTTGCTCTCGACATTGTCATATGCGCCCCAATATTTATCCCTATCAGGGCAGACTCTGTTAATGGATTGTTACAGGCCTCGTTCATGGGACTGCAGGACTAGCCGGCAATTACACAAAGGAAAGCCAGGAAACCCCTTCAGAAGGCTTCCGTTTGCTGTTGCTTGAATTCAGTCTCCACAAAGCATGGCTGGCTGATACTGCGGGGCACATGGGCACTCCGGAAGAAAGAGAGCGATTCGCTGATGTGTTTCAAACCTTCCAGGATAGCCTCTTTGTTTTCCAGGTCAGGTACTTCCATTCCCACATGAAGTCTCTTCGGAACTTTCATTAGGTACAATAGGTATATTGCCTCCTCTTCTCGGATATTTGGACGAGCGAGAACAAGCGAGCCCACACGGTCGAAGCTGATTAGTCGCTTACATGCCAGGATTTCCTGGCAATCTTGTAGCCAGATCCAGAGCGTTCGAAGAGATGGTAAGTAGAACCAAGCCATGAACTGACCAGGCTCACAGGAAGGGTGGCCATCCACATAGCCACCATCCACATACTCAGAATCAGGTGGTATCGGGACATTGCTACCATAATCCACAAAAGCAAGACACTCGAAAGTTGATAGCCTGCCCTTCGGTGCGGTGAAAAGAGCATGCTTCAACATTAGTCCCGGAAAGCCTGACTTCCAGACAAATGTGAAGTCCAAACGAAGGGCACAAAGACTGTGCAGTTGAGACAGAAGAATGGCAACAAACGCATAAGCATTTCCATCTTGGAGAGCCTTCTTCCACATAGCAGCATTTGGGAAACGAGCTTCATCAATAATGGCCTGAGCCCTTGTCAAAATGTCTTTGAACTCGTCACAGGAAACAGTCTGCCTGTCTGTATTATATGCGCCGAGGTTCTCGTCTTCAGTCCACCAACTGTTCTTTTCGCTAGATCGTAGGTCAACCCGCTTGATCTTTGAAGCCATATCCTGACTCCGCAGGACGGGTCTCGACAACTGCAGGATGCGCTTCAGAGAAACCTTGCACCAGGCCCATGATATTGAGCGATAGAGGAATCGCTGAGCGCACGTGTTGAAAACTCTGGACACCAACGAGGCAGAAAGCAGGTCATTTAGCTTGAGATGATCGAAGACGCATAGCCAACAGTCACTGGACAATGAGACGGGTCTGCGTGCTTATTAGTTTATGTTCTCGTAGTATCAGTTTCAGCTTACCCTGACTCGAACATCACGTTGGTATATATATATATCGAAGTTGCGGTTTCTTGAGAGATAGTTCTTAAAGCGTATAGCGGGAAGGCTGAGAAGAGAAGAGACACATTCGACAGAGTCCATAACTGCATAGGCCGATAGACAGCTGCCTCCGGATGTTGATCTCATCTGTATCTGTTCCGAAAGGGTTAGTGGTTGATGCCTGCCCTAAGCAAGAAGACATCATCACGACAATTCGATTTTTCTTTCTAGGACACCGTAGATTGGATAGTAGCTATTTCATCCATCAACTCAACTTTTCTTTTCTTTTCTTCATTCTTTTCTTCTTTTTTCTCTTGGAAAATTTTGTTCTACACTGCGAGACTACCTTACGTGAAGGCGGTAAGTCTTGCTGAGGGGCGTTGCCGCATTTCTTGCTTGGAGTCATATTCCTTCGTCATCATCGGCAATTTGCTAGCTTTACAACGTCGCAATGGCTGCAGGCACAGTAATAGCTGAAGAGCTCCTGAAGAGACCATTATACGGTTAATGCGCGCCATCGATTTCCACTACCAGAAGTTCTATCGCTAACTCTCGCAGTGTATGATCTCCCGCCGCAGATCCTCTCAACCTTAAGCGCCAAAAACCAGAACCAAGCCGTCGCCGTACAAAGTGACACCGAAGAAGACGCCCAAGACGCGAACGAAACAGCAGAACAAGAACACGCTGTCGCGACAGCCTCGTCATGCGCCCTTTGCAAGATATCATTCTCCAACGTGCAGGAACAACGAGACCACGTCCGATCCGATCACCACCGGTATAACCTCAAGGCGCAACTACGCGGGACCCCGACTTATGATGAGTCACAATTCACCAAGGCGGTCGGGGAGTTAGACGAATCTATATCTGGATCTGAGTTGTCGTCGGAAGAGGACGAGGGAGATGCGTCGCAGCCGACACTCACTGCTCTGCTGAAAAAGCAAGCTAAGATATCCCAAGCGAATGATGAGGAGGAAGTATCGTCGAAAAAGCAAAATGTTGGGAAGCATCCTTTGTTGTGGTTTTCGAGCTCCGCTTTGCCTTCGAACACGTCGCTGGGTATCTACAGAGCTCTGTTCAGTGACGTTGAGCAAGACGAACCCGCATACCTCGCCGATTCGCTACGGACAAAGCAGTTGGACCCAATCAGACCACAGCGCAATAACGGACCTGCTGTAAAAGCCCCCACTACTCAGTCGAAACCCAGTCCTCATATCTTCATGTGCATGATCGGTGGTGGTCATTGTGCGGCGATGCTGGTTTCTTTAGCACCAGAAATTCATCGCAGACAGGGTGGCGTAGAAGACAGACAAGCGCGCGTGATTGCGCACAAGTCGTTCCATCGTTATACCACGCGACGGAAGCAAGGTGGGTCGCAATCTGCTAGCGACGCTTCAAGAGGCGCCGCGCATTCGGCAGGATCCAGCTTGCGGCGTTATAATGAGGCTGCGCTTGAGAAGGAGGTTAGGGAACTATTCAGAGACTGGAAACAGATGATAGACGACGCCCAGTTTCTGTTCATTCGGGCCACGGGAAGTACGAATCGGAGGATCCTGTTTGGGCAGTACGAAGGTCAATTCTTGAAACATAACGACCCAAGAATAAGAGGCTTTCCATTTAGTACTCGCAGAGCTACCCAGGCCGAGCTTCTGCGATGCTTCAAGGAACTAACTCGTGTCAAAGTGAGCCAGGTTGACGAAGCGGCACTCGCTGCTGCTGAGACCAAACAGCACCAGGAAGAGGCAGCGAAACAGCAAGCAACACGTCAACAGCAACCAGAAAAACCGAAGATATCTAAGGAGGATGAAGAAGCCCTTCTTCACACGACACAGATTCAAGCGTTCATCCGTCGCTCGAAAATCCCAGCTCTAATGTCCTACATTTCCAACAATTCTATACCCCCATCATTCGCCTTCAAGCCGTCGGACTCACAACAAAACTTCAGGTGTCCTACGTCACTTCATCTCGCAGCAAACCTCAGCTCACACTCTGTTGTCCTGGCACTTCTTACGAAAGCCAATGCAGACCCAACAGCCGCGAATGGCGAAGGGAAAACACCGTTCGAACTTGCAGGAGACCGCGCCACTCGTGACGCTTTCCGTATCGCGCGTCACGAACTAGGAGAATCCAAGTGGAATTGGGATACTGCCAAGGTTCCCTCAGCGATCTCCAAATCCGACGCAGACAGCCGAGCAGAACGAGAGCGCAAGTCCGCTGAAGAGGAAGAATCGAACAGACGCAAAGCAGAGTTGGACCGTTTAAAAAAGGAGGAAGCAGAGAGGGTGGCACAGACAGAGCAACGGAAGAATGCTGGTGGTCGGACGTTGGGAGCATTGGAGAAGACACCTGCTGAGAAACGGGAAGAGGAGATGCGGGGAATGACACCGGAGATGAGGATGAGATTGGAAAGAGAGCGTCGCGCGAGAGCAGCTGAGGAGCGGTTTCGAAGGATGCAAGGGAACTAAGGTTGCTGCAGTGTAGATGTCTTTAGTTGCTTTATGATATGTTGATGCACTGATGATCATGCCTCATGAAAATTTCTAGAACTTGAGTGATAGAGTGTATATAATACTTCTGGGTGTTATATGGCGGACTCGCTTTAGCATCAATTAGGGTCCCGTGATCACTTGAATCAGACGAGTTAGTCGTAGCGCGACAAACCTAACGCGTAACAACCATCACCATCGCTATTATATGTCCTTCTTCACCTTTTAGCATTGATATCTTTTTACCATATGGATTTATCTCTGCAACCCCAATGATTCGAAATGTCCTTCTCAACCAAGAGCAACACCGTGGGCACCTTGGCAAGATGGGACCCGCGAACAGGACAAACTAGTCACCCAAGAAGCATCGACAGCAACGAAGAAGTCTACGTTGGTCGTGATAGCAAGCGATGGTAACCCCTCATCCAACTCAATTCACTACCCCCAGCGCTAACTTCCCATTGTACCGCCTAGTCAATATGTCATCGACGACCCCTTCATATCGAACAAGCACCTACGCATATACACCATCCTCTTCGATCGCGAGAACCCAGGCGAAGTGGCTCCTTTGGTCTACGTCCAGGATCTCTCGATGAATGGCACAATGTGGAATGATTATCGGATGGGTGAAGGGAGTGGCAGTTTTCTGTTGAGCCATGGGGATAAGTTGAAGTTGACACCGGATACCCACATTATATTCCTATGCGGGGAGTATAGGGAGGATCAGGGGTTTGATATGTTGCAGAAAGTTGAGATGAAGGTAAGCACCTGCGTTTGATTAATTCTTTCGGACTAGAGATGCTGACTTTGGCGAAGGTCTTCCAGGAACAATATGTTATCACACCGCGAAAACTAGGTTCCGGAGCCTATGGACGAGTTCATATGGCATACAACAAGGATAATGGCCAGCAGCTTGCATGCAAAGTCGTCGACCTCCGGGCCATGAGGGATAGGGCTACAAAGGAAATTGAAGAACAAAAGTCGAAGCTCTTCAGGGACAAGTGGCAGGCGTCCATGGCCAAGAACAATAACGATAAGTGTGCCGATGTTATTGCCGTTCGTGGACTGGAGAACTACCTTTCGAAGAAGGTCCAGGAGAAGCTGGATATCTATCATCGTGAGGCTAGGATTTTGGAGAACTTGAGCCATGTAAGTGGTCCATGGGTGATACTGAGTGCAAGAATACTGACACTAGTAGCCCAACATCATCAGCGTAGAGAAGGTGATAAAGTCCAGTAATACCATGTGAGTAGATCAGCTATCAGGTTCGTATGTCAAGCTAAAACCGGAGCAGTTATCTCTTCCAAGACCTCATCACAGCAGGCGACTTGTTTTCCTTCATCCAGTACAAAGGTGGGAAGTTAGGTGATATCGAGTCTGCCGTGGTGGTCCGACAAGTTCTCATGGCACTGGACTACCTCCATGACCGCGATATCGTGCATCGTGATCTCAAACCTGATAATATCCTAATGACATCCCTCGCGGATGGGGGTCGTGTGATTCTGACGGATTTTGGATGCGCCAGACTTGTGAAGCCTATGGTTGAACGGATGTCGACGATGATTGGCACGTTTGAATACAGTGCTCCGTGAGTAGACGATCCACAGATTCGGGAAGTACCAATTAATATGTCTACAGGGAGGTCCTCCAATCCAACCAGAAAGGCTACACGAAAGCCGTAGATCTCTGGTCCTTGGGTTGCGTCACGGCTATACTCCTCACAGGCGACTCTCCCTTCCGAGACCCAGGAAACTTGGACCATGCACAACCGCCCCAAGACGGCGACTTCGAGAGACTCGAACAAGATATGGAGTGGCACCATGTCGGAACGCGTGCGAGAGACTTTGTCCGACAACTTCTGGTGCTCGATGACATGAAGCGGATGGCTGTAAAGCACGCGCTACGCCATTCGTGGTTTACGAACAGAGCGCATAAGCGTGAATTCGAAGCCCTGTACAGGCGATCAATCAGGGACTGGAAGCCTCGAGCACATCAAGGGCCATTGATGGTCGATTTGTGCAGTCTCATTGAGATTCGCAAGATTCGCGAGTTGCACCAGGCTAATGCGGTTGATGCATGTATGGAGAGGAGAGGCCAATTGTCTCATCCATTAACCTCATTCTCTGAGAATTCCTCACAAGATACCTTGTCCTCCGGAAGCACGACTGATCGTGAACGCCCGGTTTCTCCTACCCTATCAGACCCTGATCTTCCAACGCACAACAGGGCTAGAGATGAAAGTTTTGAATTAGGCGATTCGTATTATTATCAGAAGCAAAAGCCAGACATGGAATTCAGTGCGCCAAGTGTCATACCCACAGTCTCAACCACGGGTAAGAACAGAAGAGAATTCCCGTTGCCCTTTACAGGCGATACCTACGCGATGCCCATCAAGAAGCGGGTTCGAGACCCGTGGGAGGTGCCCGAAGACGAAGTATATGAAGAAGTCAGCAATGCGATGACTGGGAAGCGTCAGCAAGTTGCTTATGGATCCAGTGTCTTTCCGAAAGCTGCGCAATGGACTTAAGCGAGACGTCCAGACTCATCTATTGTGTCATTGATCAGAATGTCGGAGTCAATTTACGGAGATATCTATGAGTGACTTAGCCGTTGCGTACTAATACAGCACTTCATGCAAAACGTAGCAAATAAGATCATTTCTATTTGTCTGTCTACATCATTGCCGTGGCCTCGACGCCTGTCATAGCTGCGTCTGTTCCTTGCAGCCCCTCGCATCAGCTGCTAAGAGTTCGTCCTCGATGAGTAAAATAGAGTCCTTGTTAATGGCAATCTCGCCTCTTCGAAGGCTTGCTTGACTCGAAAACGGATTTCAACCGCATCACTTCTTGACTATAGGCAAACCTATACCCGACGACTCTACGAAGTACTTGATTACCCCAACGTACAAAGTACGATATGCACAATGTAGATTACGATTACACAGGAGAAATCCCCGAGACACAATGCAACCTTTCCTCTCGGAAAGCCTCGTGAAGGCACGTACATGCTGTGTACCAAGGCAAATGCAAACGCAAAGCAAGGCAAAACGGCCCAGCACAAGACTCGACTGACCGAAAATAGAATCAACCAGCTACACCTGAAACCAACAAAGACAGAACCCCCGCCACCAAGTACGTTGTCAGATGTCTTTCCCGTCCACGCTCAGGAATGTGGATCTTGCAGTATGTATGCTAAACCGGATAAGGGATATCTTATCCCTTGAATGCATTGATTTGATCGTTATTCCCCGAGATCCACTGATTGTCCAACGATCAGATGCGGCTGTGCACGGGCTAATATTGCCAAAAGAGGTAATATTGGATTCTGTCGCGTAGGAACGCATTTTTCGCGTCGCCGCGCGTGTTACGCGACGCGTTCGCGACATCGGCGTAGAAACCGGATGTACGAACAAGTACAAGATTTGATGGCGAGAAATGATGTAAAATGGAAATTAAAATCGTACTTGGTGAGGGGTAAACCTGATTTTGATGCTACAGATGGGGAGTTCTTATATCATAGTGCCTGGAAGGGAGCTAGGGTCGTGGAAAGGCACAAGACAGGCCTTGTCCTTGTATGGACATAGGATGTGCGAGTATCTCTACGGAGTGAAAAATAGGGAGTTGTTCTGAGAATAGAGAGAGGTTTGATTAGTTGTAAATAGGAAATTGCTTCAATGCGATGCGACCCGATGCGACCCTATAGTCCACTGTATGGCATCCACTACTATTATGCACCAAAATAGAAAGCGTCCACTGTACCGGCAATGCTGCCATTGTCCCGAATCTCCACGCCGGCACAGGCCAAAGAAGCCCAGCTGAAGATCGAAAGACCCAGCGAAAAAAAAAAAAAAAAAAGTTTCATTGACAGATCGGAACCGGACAAAGATGTCGCAGGTTGATCAAAGCGAGTTCATCCCTCCTTGAGGCTGTGACCAGTGAACAAAGCAGAAGAGAGACTGGGCAGAGTCATGATCAGAGTAGTACTCGCTCGTGGTGTCTCCGTTGTCTGTAGCCTCTTTTGGTATCCTTGCATGGTGTCTCCTGTGCTGTCCTTGACTCCCTTTTTTCTCTCCTTTCTATTTGCTGAGACAGTGTAGGAATACAGTTGTCAGGTAGAAGCGCATAGTGCCCAAGGCAGCTTGGTAGTAGACATTCAAAATATAGGGCGTCCGCCCCTCAGAGCAACCTTCGAAGGGCACTGAGTACACATTCTCTTTCTCTTTCTTCTTAGATTCTTCCTTCGTTGTCGCAGTTGGAGGGTGGAATTCTTTAGCCACTCGTCAGGCACTGCTTCATTGTCTGTTCGATCTTTGTGACTGTTTCTGGTTGTGTTATTCTGCAGTAACTGTTTTTGGCTCTCGCTTCGCCGTTCCCGGCAACCACCCGCACTAAACCGTTTCCGGAAGCCTCCTTTTCCGGGTTCTTATCGCTCCCCGCCAGTGTTTCTTCTCCCTCATCATCCTCTGTCATTCCCCCATCCTCTTCTTGCCTGACTACTTTTTCTACTCGTCGCATCCCCCGGACCACGTTCAAATTGAATCGCATACCGTTATTTATATCCTCGTCTGAGTTTTACCACCCCGTCGCTCATCTCGCTCCTCAAGACCCCTCCCGGCGCAAAACACACAGTCGCTACCCTGCGCGCGCGCACACAACAATACCCGACAAGCCTTTTCCCACCCCAACAACCCATTCTCCATCCATTATCGCTCGATCGCTCGCCTACAATAACCAAACAATATAATATTTAGTTGCTGCGCAACATGTTACTCCCATCAGCGCTCTCATGCGACGTGCGACGACCGTCGCGCTTCGCCGCCACCCGCTTCCTCTCGACTCCTCCCCCGTCGGACGACGAAGTCCCCATGGGCAACGGTCTGTTGGGGACCTGTCGCGCACTACAATCTCTACTCAACGGGTCCCCGGCGCCCTCCCCGCGACGTTCCAAGCCTGCGCGCCTACAGAGTCCCGTTCATATTCGATCGACGCCTTCTACCCGGTCGCGACGACTTGCAACACCTTCGTCGCCTGGGCGGACACCGCAGCGCCGTCCTCGTGGTATCAACAAGCGGAGGCGCGACAGCTATGAAGCGGGTGAAGATAATGACAACACCAACAATGACAACCGCGATGCGACTGTGGATCACAGTGCTTCGCGCAATCAATTCTCTACACCAAAGCGTCGCCGTCACGCTCCCTACAATCTTCCGTTAGGCCTGTCGCAGACCGATTTCTACTCGCTGAACTCTCCACCCACTACCGCGTCTCCTTCATCCCCTCGTTACCAGAACCAGCAAGACTCGTCCGCGCAACAACCATACAATCCCGATGCCGCGCTTCCGTCAATAGAAGTAACCGATGACTCCACACGGTCAAGCCAATGGACAGAAGAGGACGACCAACGGCTCATGGAAACTGTCTTCGAGAAATTCCAACTGTCAAAACAACAATGGGACGAATGCGCGCAGCGCATAGGCAAAGACCAAGCCAGTGTTGAACGACGATGGCAGGCCCTCGTCGGACAAGGCAATATCGGTCTGCGACGATGATGGACTGTCCGCCATTGATTGGGACGCTGGTCGTTTGAATCTTTGTTTTTCTTTTCGACTTCTGTTATCTTATCTACGCTTGACGATCAATTTCCTTTGTCACGTTTCTGTATGCTATGGATTATGCTTGCTTATGTCGATATCCTGTCGCCAATATCTCTGGCTGAATGTACTATTATGCTCATGTCTCTCTTTGGTTTCGGTTTTCCGTCTTAACTTTTTCTACCGTCCATATTCCCACTATCTACCCTGTGTCTACTTTCCTACGTTCTTGTGATTGTTTACGGTCTCAAATTGTTATTTACCATGTACTCCATATACCATGTACTCTATTCTACTTCGAATCGGAATTATAATCCGTCGACAGTTCCTGAGGGTCTTTGTTTGTCTCTAAAAATAAATAAGCTCAACGCAACGTACGACCTGTGGGGCAGGTTACTTGCCTCAGGCTCCCTACCGCTTGTATTGATATCGCTATATCCCGTACTGTCAGATTGAACTGGAGACACGCTACCATGTAGGAGTGAATGCTCATGAAAGGATTTATGATATATTATGAGAATAAGCAGTGAATAGTAGCTACACACCTAGGAAATACCAGAGGGATGGGGGTACACCATCTTCTCGTCTCATCCGCCTCATCTCACTCACCACTGTCATCGAGCAAATATCGAGCTGACACTTGTTGACATGCATATTAGACTCAGTTCGCATCGAACCTGAAACATGACATTCTTTCTTCAGTTGGATTATTCCAACAGGATACCTTGTCGTCTTGTGAAATACGTTTCACGGGAATAGACATTGTGCCTGTAGGGTCACGATTCCCCCGAGAGACCGTTATCCGGTATCCTCTGGCTTGATGGCCTAAGTGGCCCACTGCCCTGAAGAGCGGGCTAAAAGAAAAACGGCCTCGAGCGCCCATTCGGGCATTGTGAGCTTGCACACATATATCCTACAATTACGAACAAGAGACAAGGTTGTGCAAGTAAAGAACGTGTAAGTTGTCATCCACACCAATTCATCAAGACATAGCTAACGGCAGACAGACAGGCGAAGTTTCTAAGCCGAGACCTTTTATCCATTTTGCAGAGAGAAAAACGGTCAATCGCAAAGTAGACTACATTCTGGTACTCTCAATGCGGAATCCTAACGTATAAACCGCCAAGCAGACGAGATCTGGCGACAGATAAGAAAACTTCGCGTTGGAAGTATTAAATGCAATACCCACACCGGAGACGAAAGCGCATGGACCACCGGCGCTGTTGAAAACATCCTGAAGATAGGAGCAAGACAGCGAAAATGTACATTTCCACAACACGTAAGTTGTCGTACACCACTCACCAAGGCATAGCTAACAACAAACAGACAATATCAATTGCTGTAATCGGAGCTTCTGACAATTATTGCAGAAGACAAAGTCAGCGCAGAATCGATTATGCGGTTGCCCTTCGATGCGGAAAGCATCGCTGAGCAATTGAGATTTGGAAACAAATCCGCAGAATCCATATTGAAGCGTGGAATGCACGACTCACAGAAATTGATGAGAGCGCTGGTGCATCTGGTGTGGTTCGAGGCGTCCCGAAAATAGGGCAAAGGACAGCGAAATTGTTTAGATAAAGAACATGTAAGTTGCCATCCACCACTCACCAATGCATAGCTCTCACTGGCCGCTTGTGGGCCACGTCACAATCACAAAGCCTCACTACGCTCGAGGATAATTTTTGCACTAGCGGCTTGTGCCCACTATGTAAATACGTAGATAGACTGTATCATAATGACATTGGAGTGACTTTATCTAGGCAGCGTCCTGTCAAAGTTTAGGCAGTGTCATCTCATGGTACCTGATACAAAATCCTCGCATTTTTTCGCGTCTTCAGACACCTTACCGATCACTGAAAATATGGAAACTAAATGTCTTCATCACTGGCTCGACGGAGTCCAGACACACCAGAATCCTACCTCTCCATCCAATATCACCGAGGAACATGATACTCCTCCAACCAAACGGCGAAAGAGATCCCCCAGTTTGACATCAACTTCCAGTACTCAAATCACAGAACAATCATGCTCATCGGACTCGAGCTCGCTCACTTGCGGGACATATCACAGAGAGAGAGAAGAAGATGCTGAAGTGGTTACGAGAACTGTCATGGCACTGAGCTCAATCTTAGCAGAACCACGGATCATCTATCGCCTGCCACCTGGTATACGGTGTCCCGAGTCAGCTATCTCAGTTCGAAGAGAGCTAAGCAAGGACTTTGGGATGAAACTTATACCGTTGGAATTCAAGGTATGCTCAGACTCGGCCCAATCATACTATACTTGGTTATCTGACGATAGGCAGGATAAGATTGAAGAAGCTGATGGTGAAATGCCGGATTTCGCCTACGACGATGGCGATTCCTTGTCTCCTGGGCAGCTAGAGACACTCTGGGAAAATATTCAGGAGATATATATATCAAGGCAACAGAGTGTAGCCGACTCTCCCAAGACGAGAATGCTTGGTCTTTGGTGGTTTATGATATCCTGAATTTTGCTCTAAGACATAAATTTAACTTACGGCCGACAAATATGTGAGTTGTTACGACTCAATTACCCACAGTTTCTAGTTATGCTAACGCACACAACAGCAAGTTGCAAACAATAGAGCCTGAGATACTGCCACGCCTACCTCATCACGATTTAAGCGACATCAGCAGCAGCAAGGTCAACTACGTCTTTGCACTTTTCCCTCGAAGCTCAGAAATTGGGGAAAGTTTATGGTGGTTTGAGCGTGAACGAATACCCTTGGGCCTAACAACTGACCCAGGTCTGTCATTCACACCACTCTTCGCTGGTGTTATAGTCAGGGATACAAGTGGTAACCTCGAGGAAGCAACGCTTCAACTATCACTTCTGTTTGCAGCACAATTCGAGAAGCTCATACGACTGAGCAAGCTTCAAGGCAAAGAGATAAGCGGGTACCAGTTACCTCTGATGTTTGGCTGGACGGTCTTTGGGAGTGATTGGCATCTTTATTACGCCTATAGATGCATTGTCGGGGGCAAAGAGACGATGGTAAGATGTACATCCCGTCCATTCAACGTTGCTGATACTGAAGAAAGATTTATAGTATGTCAATAAGGCTATCGCTGCCATATGCCCTAACACAACAACCGATTTATACTATGGTATCTTCAAGATTATTGATCTCGTACGCCGGGTTGCTACATATTTGGAGAATGTCCATTGGCCTTTGCTGCGCGACAATATTCTGTGTCCACCTGTGAATCTTGGAGTGCAGGCTTGAGGTGATGGAGCATTCAATGGCGGATGATTGCTGTTATCCATTCCTGATTTTTTTTTTTAATTTTTTTTTTTTTTTTTGAAAGTATGCAATATCAACAATATTGGCTAGGAAAATGTTCATGATGCGCTCTTTAGTAGTACTTTCACTCTGTGAATTTTTGCGTTGTGTCTAGAGAAATTACCAATGTTTCTTAACCTGACCTCCTTACACTACCTCCCGACCATGGTCGTATCAGTATCAACACAAGGCTGAATTACGCCATTTCCCTGAGGAGGCGAGTTCCCAAAACCAACGAATAGCTTGATCGTGCTCAACTTCAACCCTTCGGGACACATTTCCATCTTGAATCCCGCTCTCGGCTGCGGTCGTGAATAAGGATGAAAGGGGCGAGAAGGATGAGGCAAGGTTACAGTTAACTTCTCCTTGCAGCTCAGTTTGAGCGTCAGGCACAGCTCTCGAAACCAGGATTACTGGGGTACTTATGCCTGACAAAGCCATCAGTCTTCAACCCATGGGCACCTGGTCTACACATTTCCGAGCCAGTCCTCTCACTGCGAGCGGCGCTAGGAGAAGACTTTGAGGAAAGGATTATACCAAGGGGTCCTAGAGGTATACTCTGCCCATATAGATTCGCCCATGTATAGCTTTCTGTTCGACAATAGAAAGGACAGTATTGCAGCAATTGACCCATTCCAAACACCTGACCGGGACTCTCATTGTGAAGGAACAAAGTCCGTGAAGCTCAGCAGGGCCGTTCCCAGAGAGTCCCCTTTACGAAGAAAAGCATGTTATTACCATAAAACACCATCTAACGATCAACCCCTTAGCTATTGCCTACGCCTCTGCAGGTTCATCCCGGTCGGACCTTTCACGGATAACCAAATTGATGTCAGACTGGTCCAAGAGCATTCGCAACCAGATTGTCTTTAGATAGCTGCTGTGACACCAGAACTTTCGCTTGCACCTTCTCGTTCACGCGCGAGATTGAACCATCTTATTTCTTTGCCCACACCCCAAGGTCTAACTCGCCTGTACCCGAGATCCATGTCGGCTTGGAATACTCCTGATTCAACCGCGCCGAAAGATCAGGAATTGCCCTGTAGAAGATCATTCGTATCACCAATATTTTTTTCGGAATCGTTATCTCAGAGGAAATGAGTGGAGGTAGCTTGTGTTCCTTGGCGCATTTTTCAGGGTCTTTGCCAACATACACGATTTCAACCCCGCAGCCAATTCACAATATAACGAAGCCACGGCCATGTGGTGATTAGAGATAAATTTCTAAATTTCTGCATGTTCCAGACCAACTTCCCATTTGATAGCTTTATGATCAATTGATGTTTCAGATCTTTGTTCCACTGCTCCAATTTAGCTTTGTGGGATTCAATGCGGAACTGGTGGTGTAGGAGAGGGGGGATACTGTCACTGATCATTAGAACACAGGGCCAACTTAGCCGGTTGCGGTGTCGGGAAAAAAAAAAAAAGTCGTTCTTCGCCTCCGATTCTTTACTTCCTGGTTACCGGAAGGCTTCTCTCGAGCCTTCCCGGGCCCGGGAGCTCCACCTTTTAATAGTCGACCATTCGTAATATCGCTGTCGAGCCGGGCGATTAGGCCAGGATGCATATCAAGGAGAGCAAAGCCCCCTGTCCGTGGTCGGTTGAGTTTCGAGGGCACGTAGGCGTTTCGCGATGTTCTCTTTTACAGCCCGAGGCTAAGCCCTGCGCATCCACAGTATTCTCTTTAAACGGACAAAGAGTTGGGCGCAATAGTGAAGATGAGTCCATTTGGAGGTATCAGCAACGTTTGAAGCTCTAGGGACTGTGATTCAGTCATTTGCCGCTTTCCACCTGCTGCTTTCGCTGTGGGTGAAAAAGTAGAAGCATGAGTAGTTAACTAAGAGTCATGCTTGAGGATATTCAGGTCAATGGTTGATCTAATGCCAACAGCAAAATACCTTTATCTGACCTGTCCTGCGGTGCCAGAAAGCCCATTGAATCAATCCAACGCTTAAGTTCTTGCATGCATATATCCAATATCAACCCTTGTAAACCTTGTCGTGCAGGTCTCTTTGTGGAAGACTCGAGCGTGTTGAAGTGCATGTGCTAGTGTGTGAGAGGTCACCCCAGCCTCTCTCTTTCTCCATCAGTCTTCAACCTGAACCGTTGCTTCAACGTGGCGACACCGCTCGTTCCATCAGTCAGGTTAGATTGTTCTTGCTTTATTTGGCTTGGCTTATATATACAAGTCATGTCAATTCATGGCAACACACAATGAGAGAATGCGACACGAGTCCACGAATCATGAGCAGCTGGACAGTCAACGTCTCATGCCAACGGCAGACGACCTGTCACATCAGACTTCAGATAGTGCCAATAGTCCAGAAAAATGAAGCTTCGGGATGTTCACTTCCAGAATTCCAGATCCAAACCTTAAGCCAGCCTGACCGCTTCATCTTATGGATAGGAATACCGTGTATGGAGTATTACTGTGCTCCTATCCTACAGTACAAGCACAGGAGAACATCCCTTTATTACGCATCATATTCGCACCGGCCCATCTGTTGAGGTCGACAACACGTACGCAAAGGTCAAGTCACGGGCACTCTGTCAAAAGCATTGTTGACACTATGGGCTGCTAACATGTGGAGGTTAGCGAGGGATAGACCGGCGGGTTCAGGAACAGGGCCGAAACCACGGGCTTCCGCGACAAATCAGGAACCCGATTTCCCCTGATCGTTGCGACTAACGACGATAACTAGCGATGTTCGGGTGTTCGTCAGATCCCGCCAGATGCTCCTAAACTTTACCCGTCGCGTTTCTCCGGGAAATCATTTTCTCAGGGGTTGACAGAACCCCGATGAAAAAAAAAAAAAAAAAAAAAAAAGTCCTCAACATATCATTTGCAGCTGCCAGTCTTTTTGACAACAAACTTTGGCTAACCCGGAACTGGTAATGGTTTTCAATCTATCGACGGGCCCTAATGCATAGTACATCCGGCGCCGCCGGACCGCACCTATGAGTCTCGCGAGAGTTTGATCATGCGCACATCCCCGGACAACACCTTTCCTTACTCTGCCCAGTTCTCATGCGCTATGAGGTAGGAATATTGAGGATACTGGACATACTCCGGAGAGAGTACGGTGTCGGAAACGATATATTTGCTTTTGATGCTGAAGCTTGCAGGCTGATAAGCTCCGCTGATACATCTATCAGATAGCAATTCCAAATATGCCACCGACTATTAGTGCCATGCTTTCAATACTCGAAACCAACGCATTGGGAAGCGCGGGGCCACGCTAAATCCTGATCTGCCCTATGACCCCGTCAGTGGTGGACTCCATTTCTGACATTACTCCATTCAACCTTTCGTGCAGGGCCCAATGAGAGATTTCCAATTCATGCCGCTGCAGCCTTTAGACTATGGGCTGTCGAGTGGATCGCTTCATTTCGCACTCGTCCCATCTGGGATGTATCTTGCATCCTGGACCAGGGTCACAACTTTATTACGCGTTCAAGCCAATGATGTGCGAGTTAGGCTCAGATGATTTCTGATAAACCATATCCAATAAGTTCTTTATCTAACAGGGAGAGCTCTCATTTTCTGTTCTTTTTCTTCAGTCGGTTCTTTTCTAGCCCTGCTGCTCGTCAAGTTTCCTCTGTCAATCCTTCGTGTACTACAGAGTACCATTCCCGGCAAATATCCTGCCTTGTGTCCTTTGGACGTGCTTTATTCCTTTTTGATAACTGCTATTGCTTAATTCGGATTGGACGTGCATGAGAACGATGTTCGAGCAACAATAGAAAGAGAAGGGTTCTTCATTGTCGTTCGCAGCGATCTTGCATCCAGATCCTGGGAATTGTGCGACATACTCTTCACATCCTAGTCTCTTCAGACCAACAATATGCGGCTTTTTCACTTATTATCCTTGACCATTCTCCTGATACCGAGCTTGGTTACACTAGCAGCGCAGGTACCTCATGATGCACGCGGAATTAAAACGGTTGCCATCCTGGAGGCGAGAGATGAGCCTACAAATACCACTACGACAGCTATCGCATCGGACAGTGAGACGACGGCAACGGCTACTATTAAGGGGGATTCTTCTACGTCTACGCCAAGTACAACCGAGACGGCTGCGTCAACGGCAATTGCGTCTTTGAATGCATCGAATACATCGGGTGGTAGGTTGGCATTCTCTTAGATATTGTCGCTGTTGTATGCTGATTTTCTCTAGATCACAAAAAGCAGACCCGGTCACCCAAGCCAGGAGAACTTCCTATTAAACCCTCGATTACGCCTGCGCTGGGTGTTGGTGGTTTTATCCTGATAATGATCGGCGCGATTCTGGCGTTGATTGGGATTCGGAATCCATGGTACCACTCCTCTCTCTTTCTAGAGAGCGCAAACAATACTAACAAAGGGTATCAGGGTCCAAGTGTTCCTATCCGCTTCCCTCCTGACCAGCTTAGGCGTAACTGTGAGTCCCCCTTTACCTCTCATAAAATCCGCCAATCTAACTCTCTCCAGGTCTTGATCCTCTACGTCATGAACCCCCCAGTCAGCAACGCAATCCAAGGAGCCTACCTCGTCGCCGTGTTCTTCTCCGGAATCACCTTCGGAGCGCTGGCCATCGTCTTCAAGGAGTTAACAGAAGGACTCGGGTGCTTTCTGGGCGGCTTCTGTGCTAGCATGTGGCTCCTTTGCTTGAAGCCGGGTGGTCTTTTGACGGACGTCAATTCGAAGAGTGGATTTATCGCGGGGATATCAGTGGGGTTCTATGCGTTGTCGTTCAGTCAATATACGCGACCTCATGGGTTGATCGTGTCTACTGCGATTTCGGGGGGTACGGCGGTTTCTCTTGGGATTGATTGTTTTAGTCGTGCGGGATTGAAGGAGTTCTGGCTGTACATCTGGGGTAAGTTCATTCACTGACCGGTCTAGAAGGAAAAGAAACTAACAGAAACAGAACTAAACGACAAAATCTTCCCCCTAAACACAAACACCTACCCCATCACCCGCAACATCCGCGTCGAACTCGCCGTCACCGTCATCGTCGCCCTCCTAGGAATTGTCTCCCAACTCCGTCTCTGGAAAATGATCCGCCAACGCCGCCGCAACGAAGCCAAGCTACGGGAAGAAGAGAGGAAGAAAAAAAATGAGGCTGATACAGAAGCCGGAAGACAATTGGAGCAGACTACCGTGCGCGAACGGGCGGAATGGGAGGCGAAGTATGGAAACGGTACTGACTCGAAGCCAACATCGAGTAGTACCCAGGAGGTCGACGAGAAAGACAGACAAGATGTCGATTTGGAAAAGGGCGAAGGGGTCGATGTGAAAAGCGTCACGGCTATATCCCAACAATCCTACCGCTGCTCTGAGTGCAGAGAACGAGAAGCCAACGGCGACCTCGACTCAGATATTGCCTCCAGAGCAGCAAACGACAACCACCCGCTCACAAATCATGAATCACACGAACAAATCCCCACCCAAGACCCCAACACCGAAACAGAACCACCAGCCCCAGTCTTCGACGGCGCAGCAGCAGCCCGTATAAAAGACGACAACCAGTCCGAAGTCAGCGCAGTTATCGGCTCAGAAGCGGGAACTTTCTCGAAGCGGTTTTCGGGAATGACTATGCTGCAACGCGACTCCATGAGGAGTAGTATGGCGCTTGTTCGAGAAAGGAATGATGATGCTGCTTCGAATACGTCTGAGGAGGGTGTTGATGGGGATAGTGTTTTGGATTCTCGTCGCTCGAGCGTTTACTCAGCAGATGATGAGGTGAAGCGCGACTCCTGGGGACCAGAGGATAAGCCGGTCGCTGAGGAGTCGAAGCCCCATGAGGATGGCCCTGCGCCCAAGGAGGGCACCACCGAACAAGAATCCCCTGAGGAGCGCCACTCCACTGAAACGGTTCAGAAGGAGCCGGATCAAACTCAAGACTCGAAACACGAAGACTCTACAAAAGAACAAGGGGAAAGGGCCTTGGAGCCTGAAAAAGCAACAAAACAGCCGGATACCTCCGAGCACAGCGAAAAGAACACCTCCGTTGGCGAACAGAAGCAGCAGGAAAACCAAACTTCTCAAACAGAGCAGCATGACCAGCCTGCTATATCCGTTTCAAACTACAGCCACGATGGCCTGCCAGCGTCTTCACATGAAGCAGGCGAGAAGCCCCGGGTGCGAGATGATAGTAAGGTGCAGACTCTGGCAGCTCTATACGATGATGCTGTGAAATCGGCAGAAGCATCTCAAAAGCCTAGTGCAAGTGCTGCATCGAAGGGACCAGGGTCTCATGCAGAACAGCAAGGCGCGAAGCCGCCTGTTGAACCCAAGTCGGCAACGGGATCGACAAAGAGCAAGCGCTCTGGAGAACGGAAATCTTCTTCACAGAAGGACAAGGCAAAAGCCCGTGCCAAGAAGGAAAAGGTCACTCTGAACGAGAAAACAGTAAAACACCTTCCAGAACGAACATCCAGAGTTATCCTGTCATACCGCACAAACGAATGGGCAAAACATCTAGACGATGCAGAAATGCCTGAGCCACCACCGATCCAACCGATCGAAGAGGAACAGCCAAAGGTTCCTGTGACGAATGAAGCAACCCCTGCTCCAGTTAACGTCAAAGAACTGTTGCAAACACCGCTAAATGCACAGCCGCCGCCTGCCGTCGAACGCCGCGTCTCGTTCAAGGAATTGCGCAACTCAAACGAGGGTCGGACATCACACGAATCCCTACAGCGGCGAACGGACAGGCCTGTATCGAGGTCGAATTCAATGACCAACCGCCCGCAACCTGCCACTGTCTCACCTGTATATTCGGATCCTCCTCACCCGCAGCCTCAACCTGCACCACTCAAAGAACCTAAATGGAAGGGACCTCCTCCGCTTCTGGCAGTACGAGAGGATTTAATGCGCAACCGGGTATCGTCGACTTCGCTGTCAATCGATCCCTGGTTACGCAGTAGTCCTCAACAATCAGCCTTTGGGCCATTGTCGCCCACTTCTCCTACCTCGCCCACATCGCCCACCATAATTCTGCCCACTCCAGGGGAAGCTGACGATGTACCTCTATCACAACGGCGCGCAATGCTGCAGCAACAGCAGCAACAGCCGACACCACCTACACCACGAGCCCTCTCCCCGCAGGCTCCACCACAGCGGACTCGGTCCGGAATGTCAGATAACAACGCGCAGGCGATCATGGCCGCATGGCGCCATTCAGTGCGTGAAGATCTGCGAGAGAAGCGAGACCCACTGGGCATGAACTCGAACCCGACAAGTCCAACGAGTCCAACAAGTCCGGTCGACCACCGATCGTCGTATTTTGGATCACAATCGCCGCGCAATCACTCAGCAGTGAACCTCCACATTGAGAATGCGATTGCTGAGGGGATGCAGCGAGGTGATATGAATGACTTGCACCGGGAAGCCATGAGACGGATGCAGGCGTCAGCGACTCGACGGACGTAGTTTGCCTTTTTTTTCTTTTGATTTGTTTTTATTCGCGTTTGCTTTTTGATGTACGATATTGAGATTTGAGATTCCCCTTTTGAGTTCTGTCTTTGTTTTGATATAATTTTTTGGAACGATACGACGATAATTATTATAATATGGAAGAAATACATGTACATTATACAATTTTGTGAATCGAGGACAACCTTAGTTTAAATACTCAAACGAACAACCCTATCCTGGTAACCTGGCAAGGGTGTATTATTTATTATGCGAGCCTGGCATCACCGTAGGGAGCGTCAAGGCAGGTATGCCACAATAATTGTCGGATGTATTCTCCAGACAGCAAGGTATGGACTGTGTCAGATCTGTATCGACGAGACTCGATATAAATCCGATTCTCTTGTATGGTTTGGTTGAGTTTCGGATGAGCGCAAGCAACGATTGGGTCCTTACTTGGGGTATTATTATAGTGGGAGGTATATATGGGGTTTATAATCATTGACTCTACTCTGTTCTTTCTTTTCTTTTCTTCGTGTCTTCTCGTTTTTGCTTTTCCGTGAGTGTTTATCGCATGTTTGCTTGTTGTCTTACTTCTACGTATTGATGGGTTATGCGCTATATCTATAGTTCCACTCGACACTGCTAACTCGACTTTTGTTTCAATTCAGTCAATCTTCTCTTTTACTTTGATCCTCTCTTTCTTCTCTCTCTCTTTTTCTTCTCTCTCTTTCTTCTCTCTCTTTCTTCTCTCTCTTTATTCTACTCTATATAATTCTCTATACAATTGAATGTTGGCTAGCCCCCTTTCTGCCTCTCTCCCGCCAATCACCGCCGGCTCCACTGTTCGCCCGATCTTCGGCCTCCTTTCGACCATCGCTTTTTCAACTTCTTCTCTTTCTCCTCTTTCACAATTACGCCCTCTACCGCCCATTTGTTTTCTCCCCCGCCAAAAACGGCCTCCTCGATTGTTCCGCGTTCCCAAGTTGTATCATCGCCCGAGGTTCCGAGGTCGTGTGCTCCCCCTGTTGCCCAAGCCCCGCCTGGCCACCACCACCACCACCGCAGTCGCGACGAGGGCCTGACGGGGGCAAATCATTACAAGACAACGTCGTATCCTCGTCATCAGGGTCAACAGCACCAGCATCAGCATAAGCGCGCGCAATCAATCCCGCTATCCGCCAGCAATCACTCCGGTGTTACCAATAACCCGCGTTGCATATTACGACCGCCGGCCGTTCGTCTCGCAAACCCAGTCAACCACGTTCCTCGTATCACCCCCGTCACCGTTTCCCATCCGTGGCAGCTGTCCGACGAGAACCTTCCCCTCGACGCGAGTCGCGACGCCTATCCCCTGCTATCTATCCCCGAGCGGCGGCGCAGCCGGTTGACTCCGTCTCCGTCGAGTTTGGTGGTTGAGCGCAGTCAGGGCGAGACGGAGAGTTGGCGCACGAGTATCGCAGTGCCTCGTGGGCAGAGGCGCAGTGGCACTTTGCCTGACGTTGATTACGACGACGACGACCACGACAACGAGAACAACTACAATATAGCCACGGAAGAAATGGCAGCGACTGCGGATAATCTACGGCCACCGGAGCAGGCCCATCTAGCACAGGATGCAGCAGCGACAGCACCACCCGTAACGCCACGATCTCGCGAATTGCATTTGCCTCGACATGTCCCGTCACAGGTGTCGCTCCGGTCACAGTCGCAGATTGCTTCGATCCCGTCGAATCCAGGGCAACAACCACGGGCAGATCTAGCGGAGGAATTGGCCTGGGGCCCAGCACATCCTTGCTTTCCACATATCAACCCACACGTTCCTATCGAGTCATCGGAATACACGTCGACACGGATTATCCGCATTCGACGCGACTGGATGGTCAAGGGCGATCTGGCACCGACATTCTCCAACCTTTACCCGGAAATCCTCGATCCACTATTGCCCGAACACGAATTCCGCAAAATCATCGCGACCGTCAACGACGAACTCAGCAAAGCGTTCGACCCGTACCGGCTGCGAAACTGGATCGACGGAGCTCTGGGCTTGGTGACCGGCTGGCTGTGGGAGGATATAGGGGCCCCAGCTATCAAACGACATCTGCAACATGTGGAGGCGTGGCTGGATAAATGGAACCGCGAGGTTGGTGCCAAGGATGGGGTACGGATTTGGAGTCTGCGGAGGTCGGCGTACATGTCGCTGGACATCCAGATTCCGGATCCGAAGGTTGGCATTATACACAGCGAGGATCCGTCACTTCCTGGTACGAGGCCGAGTACCGGTGCTGGGCGGGGGGTATAATCTTCTTCTAATCTCTTCTTTCTTTCCCTCTTTCGACTTCACTTTCGACCTTTTCTATTTTCTTTTAATTTCGTTCTGGGACCACCAGCACACCGCATGATACCTGGAAAACTGGGCCTAATCTTTTATCCTTACCTTATTATTTGTTTTTTGTTCTTTCTTACGATATCCACGCTTGATCGCTGACCTTGACGCCAACCTTGATCTTGATACCATCCATGTGTTGTGTTTTTGGGGAAGATAACGAACCCCAGTCTTGAGTTTGTTTTTCCCCCACCTTTTCTTTTTTGTGAATATGTCTCTATCTCTGGACCTACTTTTTGTGTCTATAATTCCTGGGTTTACTGTAATTTTAAACTAAATACTTACCACTAGTCTTAGTACTTAGTATGTGGATAAGACACGTTGGGTGACTTTGGATGGGTGGATTGAATACAAGTTAATATTGACTGGTGAAATTATGGACTGTTTAACTCATGTAGAATAGGATATGACAACTAGAGAAGACCAAATTCCGTTATTAATGAACTGTTGGCCATTGATTCGATTTGTGTATCCCATAAACGACCAGATGTGCAACACAAGCCGCACAAAAAAACAACAGAGAATACCGGTATCCATAAGGGGACGGATAATCTGGGTAGCTGCTTTGTGGAGAGAGGAAGTTCGATTGCTCTTAACAGCTGGGTGTTCATGTTCGCTGAGTTCGCAAAGCTCGCATCGTCTTTCAGTCTGGATATTTCCAGTACTAAGGCCTTTATATCATGCCGTTGTGAAATATACAGAGATTGATGGGCCGATAGCCAGCCTGGGTGTTCGCTCCAACCTTACTTGACCCAATTGAGGTCCGCCACGTTATTTAAAAGAGCTGTGTTGGTTAGATTGGTCCTGGTTGTTTCTGGATCGCCACAGGTGGCTTTTGAATGCTTGTCAGGCCGATTGCTCAAAGTTAGGATATTCCGCTTCCTCAGTGCCCTCAAGTCAATACGAGATTCGATACAGCGCTCTTGACGTTGTCTTGCGCATGTACTTTCTTGCGAATGCGGTAATGACAGGGCACGAGTTCTTTGGCTGTTATATCGAACGAGGTCTGTGTTGTGCTGTGTCCGCTTGATAGAGTAGAGAGCGAGAAAAAGGTATGTGCAATCTTAGGCAGACTTGAACACGGGGAATGGTCCTAAACTAACCATAATTAGGATACAATAACTTTCTTTCGTATGATGGAGCTCGTGGGGGTTAGATGTTATCTCTAGCGCAATAACTTCGTGGAAGGTAAAAGGGTCTGGCTTGTTATGGGCGTTCATGCGTGCAGAGAATGGCCCGGATACAACTGCCACCGCAACCATTTGTTGATTGGTTTCGAATTGATAGGTTGTTCTTTCATCCGGCTGCTCTCTCTCCCTGGCTAGAGCCAGGCTGGCCCAGCACCTGTATCTTGGTCACCGTGGTATGTCTAGTGATACTTAGAGGCACTCGTAGAGACCTTCAGCCACAGTGTCTGAATATGCGATCTGTGTACTGAGATTGAACGAATTGAGTTTCACACGACTTTCTGCCAGAGTCTGACCACCAGTTTCTTTTGGACGATTTTCGCTTGACAATGAGTTATTATCCAAGCGATTCATGAATTCATATATATAGGGCCTGGCCCAGAGACCCCATTGTTGTACGCTGTCATCTCCTGCCTGGCCCGCAGGTGACGGGAGTCCGAGGATGAACCACGGGAACCTGCACCTCAACATGGCCAGAAGGCGCAGGGACACGAGTGCCACGAATGGCCTTCTTGCGCATATGTAAATTGACCTTCTTGGCCATTGTCATGACCCGCACTTTCGCCAACTCGGTGCTGTAGTGCCGGGCTTGATGGGCGCGACAGAGAAGATGACGCATCTGTTTATCACTTTTCAGGAGTTTAGGAAACAGATTAGCAATGCGCACAACTTGGAAAGGATCAAACCCACATACAGCAAAACACGCACCACCTCTGCCACGACTGCCCGAGACACAAATATTCCACGCGCTCCGATGTACAACATATCCAACTGCTGAAAATATGCCATAGCTAAGAATAATATCGAGTTTTGCCAGCTTTTCAAAGTATGTTGCGAGTCATACAAATGACTGTAGTAGGGTTTCAGCTCCCCGTCGCTTTACCTCAAGTCCTATGAGGACTGTGACGTTCTTCATAGCAAATGTTTTATAATCCATAGACCAAGGAATGGTCATCTGGGTATTTTTAACAGGGCTTTGGTTGAAAGCAATAAAGCGTAGTCAACTTTTTTGTTGAGTTTTTATGTTCATATGAGCTGGGAATTCACGCCAAGGTCTATGGTTGGCTGCGTCCACTTTTCAACATTTGAAACTCGAGAGCTGCTGAGTGTCATTTGCATATTCTTCGCTTGTAGCACTTGGTTGTGAATCACAGCGTGCTGCAAAACGCAGTCTATAGTGGCCGTTTGAGTAAACTGTTAAGCCCACGGCATAAGGGTTCCTAATTCAAGGTAATAAAGAATGTGTAGGCGCACTGAAAATATGCCTGCATAGATACTGCACGTGTGTGTTGCCATATATGAGAAATGAATATGAGGATGGGAGCGCTATCAAGTTAAAAGGCAGAATGAGAGAGTTGTAAAAAGAAAGAGGATGTTGGCATTGAAACAAGGGCTGTTCATCACGTGGCCTTATACTTAGCTTGCATGCAGATCGCCCGATCCCCACCGGCGTCAGGACAATCGTCAATTGACCCCCGAACGACATCCCCGAAATGCCCTGACCCCTTACCATTCCCAACTAACCACCTCAATCGACCTCCAAAATGCTCTCGGGTATCCTGATCTTCAATCAAAAAGGCGAAAACCTCATCTTTCGCGCCTTCCGCAATGACTGCCGTCCCCGTCTCGCCGACATTTTCCGGATCCAAGTTGTCTCCAACCCCCAAGTCCGCTCGCCCATTTTGACCCTGGGATCAACGACGTTTAGCCATGTGAAACACGAGAACATATACCTGGTGGCGGTGACGAAGAGCAATGCGAACGCGGCTTTGGTGTTTGAGTTTATGTATCGGATGATAACGCTGGGGAAGAGTTATTTTGGGAAGTTCGATGAGGAGGCTGTTAAGAACAATTTTGTCTTGATCTATGAGTTGCTCGATGGTATTTTCGCTCTCTTTTCATCTTTAGATTCAATGACTGATTAACGGTATCGATTGACAGAAATCCTCGACTTCGGATACCCCCAAAACACCGAAACGGACACCCTGAAAATGTATATCACAACGGAAGGCGTCAAGTCCGCCATCGCGAACAATCTCACCGACTCCTCCCGCATTACCATGCAAGCAACAGGCGCTCTCTCCTGGCGTCGCTCGGATATCAAATACCGCAAGAATGAAGCATTCGTCGACGTGATCGAAGACGTTAACCTCCTCATGTCCGCCGGGGGCACCGTCCTCCGCGCTGATGTTAACGGACAGATTGTCATGCGCGCTTATCTTTCGGGTACACCAGAATGCAAGTTCGGGTTGAACGACAGACTACTACTGGATAGTGGAACGGCTAATTCGTCTGTGGCTGGGAACCGGGACGGAGCGATGAAGGCTACTCGCGCCGCGGCGGGATCGGTCACGCTGGAAGACTGCCAATTCCATCAGTGCGTGAAGTTGGGCCGTTTCGACGCAGACAGAATCATCTCCTTCGTTCCACCAGATGGTGAATTCGAATTAATGCGCTACCGCGCCACCGAGAATGTTAACCTCCCCTTCAAAGTCCACCCTATCGTCCGCGAGATCGGCACAACAAAAGTCGAATACAGCGTCGCCATCAAGGCAAACTACAGCTCGAAACTCTTCGCCACAAACGTCGTCGTCCGCATCCCCACACCTCTCAACACAGCCTCTACCACCGAACGCACCAGCCAAGGTCGCGCGAAGTACGAGCCCGAGCATAACAACATCGTCTGGAAGATTGCGCGGTTCTCGGGGCAGAGCGAGTACGTGCTCACGGCTGATGCGACGCTGACTAGCATGACGCATCAGAAGGCGTGGAGTCGGCCGCCGCTGAGTCTGTCGTTTAGTTTGCTCATGTTTACGAGTTCGGGGCTGCTGGTACGGTACCTTAAGGTGTTTGAAAAGAATAACTACAGCAGCGTTAAGTGGGTGCGGTACATGACGCGTGCGGGTAGCTATGAGATTCGGTTCTAGTTGCGTCTTATCCTGTGTCCATTGGGCTAGGTGTTTTGGCGTTGTCCTTTGATTTCTGGATATACTTTATCCCATCTGTTACATATACACCTTACCACTAATAGAGAGCATGGAGTAAGACTACTCCGTACGTAATAATGGAAAATTTCTCTGCAAACGATATAAAGGTCCAATGAATAAGGAGAAATACACCGCGCGGAAATACAACATCCATCATCTCAAGCATGAACTCCAGCATTTGCAACCAGACACAAATTGAATGCATTAAAGGCCAATGGGCCTTTACACTTATGAAGCAACCCGGCATACAATATCTTTAAAAACACCATGTAAGACAACGTGCTCGTGTCTCTGAATACACCGACACTTGGAGGACCTCTGATACAGCGCAAGGATTCCTTTAGCAATAGCAACCAAGTAGGAAGGGTATAGATGCCCTTACCGTGCCTTATAATACAATAAACCCGTATCCATTGCAAAGTTGCATGCTAAACAACTGTTTAACCTATTATTTGCGGCAGTGGTATCCCATCTACCCTTATCTTGGGAGTTTCTCAACTAGTAAAGGGCTTTAAGCTAGACATGTGCTCATACATATTTGTCTATGGTTGGGTGATAGCGGTTTCCCGAAGAGCTCCGTCTATTCCCAGGTCATGGACAGTGGGTATACGAGCAGTCGACGTTGCTGTTGATACAACCAGTGCAGTGTAGCTGGGGCTTAGTTTCAGACTGAATCATTTCAAATTAACTGTGTTTTTGGTTGGTTGTGAATACAGCTTTTTAAACTGCAAGAGCGAATGCTGCATTATTTGTTTTACCAATAAAAACATGTCAAATAACACCCCCGACGCCATGCTAAACGCAGAAGAAAGCCAAAATACCACGCTAAAAGCAGAAGAAATCCAAAGCACCACGCCAAAAGCCCGCCGGAATGTGAGACACCAATGTGACAATACAAAAAGCAATTTCCGAACGACATTAAGTGCAAACAACACACCGGGATAGGGGTCAGGGGAAAATAAAGGAATAGGATACGGACGAGGAAAATTTAAACGAAGATATTTCGCCCGAGGAGCCTGTTGCCGAATCATGTTTGTAGGGGATGTCGGGCCGCCGTCAATGAGGTGGTCGGTGGTTCAAGAGCCACCTCCTTTGTGGATCAGTTTCTGAAAGACATTCGTAAAGTTCCCCTTCAGGAAGGACCTAGTGAATCTACTAGGGGAGTGTGTGTGTGTGGTTGTCTTTTGGGTGCGTTGGCACCAACATCACTCATGTAGACAGTAGATGTGTATCCATCATTACTGGCGGCGGCATGTTCCTGTAATGCCATTTTATTTTCTTGAATGAAATGGCCATCCCTTTCAATATCCTCGTCGGCGCTCCTCTCGCTCCTCCCCAGCATGGCACCTGATGCAACTACGCGCGCCAATAGCTCCTTGTGAATGGTCTTAAGAGGCATCGGGGCTTGGCCTGTGATGGGATCAGGCGCGGGAGAATGTATGAGTTTGTTTGCCAGCGGGATGATTATCTGGTTGTGATAAACGGGCCAAAGAACGTTCTCAATGTATGTTTGGATGCGGTCCAGAAGAGATATTGTGGTGAACACGCCGAGAAAACTTTCAGTGTGGCAGATTGCGTGGGCTAAACGCTCAACGTGCTAGAGGTACTCTGTAGTTAGTCTTCACTCACTTGAGAATTGAAAGAAAGAGAGCCTTACCAATTCTGTCCCTTCGCGACAAGCTACGTAAGGGATCCAGGTGTGCCCGTGCACGACGACACCCATCACCGCCATATCAACCTTTCGCTCAAGATACGTCTCAATGTACTCCAGTCGTTTGAAGAACGCATGAAAAAAAATCTTCAATTGCACCTCCGCGTCGTCGACATCTCCATTAATTTTCTTAATTTCGACTCCAAAAAGGATGGGTAAACTCTCCGCCACTGCGTCGTTGGTCAACCCGAGTGTTAACGTCGACGCCCCGGACGAGAAGACGTCATAGACCGGGCCAAAATCGGGATTGTCGATAGACGATGTTAGGCAATAATCGACTTTCCTATTTACCGTCATTCCGGATGGTAGTGCTGGCAGGAGATACTCATGGAACGACTGGGTCTGGCTGGTTGAGGGGTTAGCAGAGGCAACGGAAAAGGAGACACGAGCGACTTACAGACTCCGGACCTTTAGAAGTTCACTACCAGAGACAGAAACGCGAAGTATGCGGTCTACTAGGCGAGACCAAGCATTTTCGTCATCCGTTGGGTTTGCGCAACAGTCAGCTTCGGTCCACAGATCCAGAACGGTCTCCCATAGTCGACTCGAACGATAGCGCTGAGTAGCAGTTGATCCATCGCCATAGGCGTAGTCTGGAGTTGTCAGGGTATCCTCTGAGTGATATTCACTAATAATGGAACGGAGAGCAGAAGGAATTACGCCCACACCGACGTTGTTCGATATGGTCGCTCGTACATCGAGGAAGATGGGGGGGGGGGCGGGATGAGTTTCGATGGGGGCATCTTGGGATCCCTGGGCTCGCTGACGCCAGTAATTGCAACATTCGTCGCGGTTGCATGCTCGTTGTCTTTGCGGATTTGGACCGGGGCGGTTTATCTGCGTTCGGGTCATCATCGATATCGTCGTTCGAATGTCGCCGCCGCTTCTGATTTGGCTTGGTGCGAGCGCGAGACCGACCGGTTTTCAGGGGCATGGTTCGAGCTGGTATAAAGAATATTTTCAAGAAAGAGTGCTCATAATAAGAGATTGGCGTGATTCACAACTTGGAGAGAGAGAGACTGTGTGGTCGGAAGTTGGAGTCTGTCTACTTCTACTTGGAGTGACGTCGTCCGATGTGAAAGATCATCGGCAGACCGCTAAATCACGTGCAATACCAAAAACGGCAGAATACAAACAGAAAAACTACTCCGCCTCCGAGACTGTTTTCCATCCATTCCATCTCCCACCTCTCAACCCCAATCCCTATTCAAAAAAAAAAATATATAATCACCATGTCCGCCATCATGAACTCCCTCCGCCCCTCCCTCCGCGCCGCCTCCACCGCCGCGCGCTCCTTCAGCACCACCTCGCGCCGCGACCTCGCCCGCATGATCCTCACCGGCCGTCTGGGCACTGAGCCCGAGCTGCAAGCCACCGCCTCTGGCCGTGAGGTTATCAGATACGTTGTTGCTAGCGACTACGGTCGTACGCAGAGCCGCAAGACGGACTGGTTCCGTGTGGCTTCGTTCCCGGATTCGGAAGGCCAGAAGAACTTTTTGCTTAACTTGCCTAAGGGGTATGTTTTTTTTTTTTTTTTTTTTTGTTATGTTTTTGAAAAAAAAAAAAAGGGGGGGTAACTGGGGTTTTTTTTTTTTTTTTTTTTTTTTTTGCTTGCAGTTCGCTTGTCTACGTCGAGGCCGATACCAGCTTGCGTCAGTACGAGGATGCCGAGGGCAAGAAGAACACGCAGTTGTCTCTTGTGCAGCGTGAGTGCCCACCATGCCATCAAGACCTCAAGAGGAAAAGCAAAAAAGAAACTGACTAAGTGATCCTCATCCAGGCAACATCGATGTCCTCCGCCGCCCCTTCGTCAGAAGAGAGGAGGGCGAGAACTCCGAAGGCTCCGAGTCTGCCGAGAACCAATAAATGAATTAGGAATTTAGATATACGGTGCCTTATGGAGATTTAATTGTCGGTTATGTCTTAGCTTCATCTTGTCTCCTTTGGCCCTTGTCCCCTGTACTATTATTACGATGTTAGTCGGTGCCAATACGATGTCTATGATTTGTTCTTGTCATGTCGTTTTGCTGCCAGGATAACTTTGAATGATGATTTACGGTTACAAAATTGCTCAAGTTGGACGGTATCGAGTTGAATTAGATTGATTGCTTTTGTCAAGCTACCTATGTAAACATTATGCAAGATGAAAAAGCGAATTAAGTAAAAAATATCACGCAAACCCAACCACCCCAGGGTATCTATATCGCATTGCAAATCAACCTAAAGAAACACCTCATAAGACCTCCTGCATAACACTCTCCTGGCTAATCTCCTGCCTCACCCGAATAAAATCTCTCCTACTCGGACTCGGACTGAATTCATCACTTCCACGGCTCCGACTCATCCCAGCCCAAGCATTCGTGGACACGGTATTCTGGCCTGACAATGAAAGATGGGAGGGGTGTCTTTCGTGGTTGGAAGATTTCGAAGGAGCGGGTCGGTGGAAGAAGGATCGGAACCAGGATTTTTCTTCGGGGTGGGAGTTTTGGTCGTCGTCGATGCGGATTGAGGGCATGCCTTTTTCGATGTCGTGGTAGGATTGACGTGTTGTGGGGGTTGTGGAGGCGGTGTTGGTGTTTACGTAGGTTCTGGCGTTGTTAGAATATTGTCAATTTGAACGGGTGGAGGGAATGCGTACCTTGAGGTAGAGGTCCATCTCTTGTTCTTGTTGAACAGCAACTTAACCCTGCTGCCGGAAGAACTGTTCATACTTGTCCGACGGTTATACTCCGTGTCAAGACAAGCAAAGCAGCGGTCAAGCCCTAAGGACCTCAAGAACGACCGATACAGCTCATTGGCATCTTTACCGCAGCCAAAGAAGACGAACACAAGAAAGCATGCGGCAATAGGGACCCAGCGGTCAAAAAATGCATTTCCACCGGTAGTATACTTGACGATTGTATTCCACTCCGGCCCATGGACTGCGCTCCAGGAATAGGTATGCCAGGGAAACGAGAGGACTGTGTTTTGCCAGACGACGTAGCATTGGATCGGGAAAATGATGACGAGCATAATGAAGTTTAGAGAGAAGAGGCGTATGAATCGGGATTTGTTGATGTTGCTGTTGGATGCGTTGAGGATGTCTCCGAATTGGCTTCGATACAGACGTAGACGGTGAAGAACCAGACCTAGACAATGTCAGCCACAAATCCCGTGTGATAAATAAGTTGGCATACATACCGCAGTACCAGCACGCAGGCAGGCAGATTATAGGCGGCCAGATGAACGCAAGCGCAAGTGAAATGGGGCTATCATCGAAGTTGTTGATGCAGCCCGAGACTTGATAAACCATGTACCGACTCTTCTGGTAGAAGATTTGGGTGGCCATCGAAAGAAGCGGAACCACAACACAGAACAGTATCTCCATGCCACGATTGCGCCAGCGCTGCTTCTTATCGGGAACGAGAGTTGCACATCTGGTATCCAGCACCCGAGCCAGACTGCGGAACACACACAGCAGCCCTCCGGGGACCGCGACGTAACTGGCAATCATGATCTTGACCTCAAAGTCGCAAAGACCAGTGCCATCCCACCACGAGTCGGTATCATCGCTTGACCAAATGAAGGCATTGATGATGTTGAAGAGGTTGAGTAAGACGAACCAGATGAGGATGCCGGCGGACGGGTAGTTTTTGTTCTTGATGTGTAGAATCAAGGGGACGATGATGATGCAGATACCAATAATGGATAGGAAAGGAATGGCCACCGCCTGCGAATAGACCATTTTGACGAATATCGAGCGTGCAACTGGATGTAGATGAGTATGAACTTCGAGGTCTTCGACGCCAGTTTCCTTTCGAATCAATGAGGCAAAAGAATATGATGAAAAGACAAGGAGCAATGTACTGGCATCATTCTTTAAAAAAAAGACATGGAAGAGAAAGGAGTGAAGCAGGAGAATGGCCCGTGATATCTTCTATTGACGCCAATAAGAGAAACAACAACGGGATGAAACCGGGAGAGAAGTGTTCACTGCACGTCAGGATGAGACAGAGCAGTCACTTTGCTGGATATAGAAATAAAAAGAGTGAGAAATGAGGTAGGCCGTTCATATTGAATCGGACCCCGACGGGACCAGGCGAGTCTGTATACTTGTACATGGTCAATGGCCGTGACGGGGCCAACTGAATAGGAAACCTGCCCATTGATCGATTGGAGCTTGTGATGATTGAATAAAGACCGAGTGAAGTCAAGATGAAAGTAGAAAGAAAGAGAATCAAAAGGTTGTCGTTGTTGTTGCGCTGCGCGGTTGTGGCGAGATGCCGCTTTACCGCATTGGGGTATCAATAGAGCCGTCTCCCATTGACAGCCGTTATTGACCCTCATTTTCGTCCTTCCTTCGTCCAACTTCACTGCGTATCCTGGTTATGATCTCCATGAGACAGTGTTCCTTGGGAAATCAAAACTCAAGCTAATATGGTGATGAGGTTGCATTTCCGAGCTTTTCTCGAGATCTGGTCTCGCTATGGCCTGTGATGGGTGGGCTCAGCAAGCCATTGCCATCACTAGACTGGAAAGTGAGCCAAAAATGATTTCTCACGGGTTTTCCGTGAGTCTATTACCCATGACTGCGTCCTTTAAAGACCATTGGCTGACAAGCTCTGGCTTGACAGGTTGACAGCGGTTCGCAGCACAAAACGACTTCCAAGAATAGCCCCATTCAGTAATTGTTGGCTGGCTTGACGATGGACTCAAAGAAACAAAAGCCTCTATGAGCAATACATTCTCCTTTCTTCAGCCCCGGCAAAGAAGTGTTGCATATGGGGTTCCTGCGATAGCCCGTTTTGGCCATAGCGGAGTGGGATGTTGACGGACTCCCGGGCGGCCAATTGCAGCATTGTACTCTCTGTACATGACCTGCCGTCAGCTATGGAAAATAGAGCCATGACCAGGTCGCAAACAAGATATGTCTGCTTGTTAACCAGAGTCAGCAAGCCAAAACAAAGATTCCTGGCTCCGCCGAGTCACATGTCGTCATAGCTGAGTTAACCTGTCAGCCCTGTCCTCACCGTTCACTTGTACACCACACACCACTTCACACTTCCGAGTCGCAGTTCCAGCAAACTAAGTCCGTGCTCCAGAGAAGTCGGGTGCAGTTTCTATGGTACGTTCACGGGTCGTTTCTCTTGTTGCTGTCCATAGAGCATGGATTAATTGATATCACATGGCTGATCGCGCTCAGGTCCCTGTTAATCATGACGGAACAACCTCGGCCAACACCTTCACCCCGGACTTCTTTCACGGACAATTCTAGCAAAGATAAAGAAGACAATAATTCCGGTCTCCGTCAACGCGGTCCGGCTCGAGCCGCGACAACAACATTCGCAGAGGACTTGAACTCGACATCGGTGTTACGCCGGAATTCCACCCTATCGGACTCGGTATCCGAGGCACGGAACTCGATACGATCCTCCACGGACGACCTGTTCCTTCCCCGCGTGTCCAGACGAACCAACGCTGTCGACTTGCAGGAGGAATCGCATTGGCAATCCGCACCGCTGGGTCTGGCTTTGTTCCCCGCAATCGCCGGGCTGTTCTTTAAAAATGGAGGTGCTGTAGTCACTGACATCACTTTGCTGGTCTTGGCGGCAATTTTCTTAAATTGGTCTGTTCGACTACCATGGTATGTCTTGCTTTCTTTTCTTTTCTCCTTTCATCTGCTGATAATATTCAGGGATTGGTATCGTTCCGCTCAGGCAGTCCGCCAAGACAAGTACTATGAACCAGAGGAAGAGTCGGATGACGAGCAAGCAACATCAGGGAATACACGCGAAAAGTCACCATCGAACACTGAAACAAGAAAAGAATCGCAGCGAGCATCTGCCGTCGCCAATGCAGCTAATCGCGAACTCATGATCCACGAACTCGCAGCTCTCGCATCATGCTTCATCTTTCCCATGATCGGAACATGGCTCTTGCATACCATCAGATCTAAACTATCACGGCCATCGGAAGGCCTGGTATCGAATTACAATCTGACCATTTTCCTGCTTGCGTCGGAGATCCGACCGTTCGCACATCTCCTGCGGATGGTACAAGCGCGCACGCTTCACCTCCAACGAACCGTCCACTCCGCATCACACTACGAAGAAGACAGAATCGACGCCAGCAAAGTCGCAGACCTCAGCAAGCGACTGGAAGAACTCGAAGTCCACATCGCAGAGGCAGCAGCTGCACGACTTTCATCCGAACAGTCGCCCCAAAGCCAACCAGAATCACCAAAACAAGAAAACGAAAAGAACCAAACCATCGTATCCCAAACAACCACTGAAACTCGAAAAGCCATCCAACCCGAAATCGACGCTCTAAACCGCGCAGTCCGCCGCTATGAAAAGCGCACTACCGTCACTTCATACGAAACAGACACCAGATTCCGGGATCTGGAAACACAAGTCCGCGACGCCCTCTCGTTAGCAGCCGCTGCACATCGCTCTGGTGATCGCTATCGAAACCGCGGGTTTGTATTCCGGCTCGTCGAATGGTCATATACGGCTATGCTTGTCCCGGTTCATATATTCATGTCGTTAACGGCGTTGCCGTTCCGGGTTGTTACGCGGTGTTGGGATTATTTCAAGGGCTTTAGGGGGAAGCCATCTTCGCTGTCATCGCTGAAGCGGAGTAAAGGGAAGGTGCCGCAAAACCGTGCGTCGCCGCCTCCACGGCGGTTCAAGAAGGCTACCCAAGGTTTACCAGATGGGACGACGAGTTTGAAGCCTATTCGGGAGCATAGCTGATTCCCTTCTTGTCTGTTGATATATACTAGCGTTTTGGGAGCTAATAGCGGGTTTGGTGAATTTTGGAAATGATTTAAGAGCCCTTATACTCTTGTTGAGCGTGACTATACAGCGGGATATATATAGCAGACTAATGCCACCTAACAATCTAACGTCAATCATATTCGCATAAGCACATGCTCTCTCATCTATCATAACTCTATAACCCAAACACCACGTACAAACTCTTGATCTTAAACGGGACAAAATGACACGGACAGACGATACGTATACAAACCACTTCCATCCATTTATCCCATCTCTATATAATATAAAACGTTTCTAAAAGATAAGAGAGGTCAAGACCCACCCCCCGAAGGCCCCTGATTATCTACCCCAATAATCTTCAAAAACGGCTCAACAACACTCCTCTTCCGCTCCTCCAGCGCCCTTCTCTCCTTTTCCTTCGACGGAACAGGCACGTCCCCCGAAATCAGCAGATTCGCAAACATACTCGCGAACGCGGTCTCAACGGCCTGTCGATGCGCGGCTATGTTCCCGTTGACATTACCGCTGGTAGTAGCGGCTTTGCCGCTATCAGTCGAGGAGCTCGAGGACGAGGATGTAGTGAACGAGCGCGACTGGCGACGGAAGGACCCCGCTGAGATGAACGCTGCCGAGGAAGCCGGGGTGGGCGGCGGGGCGGAATTCTCGGCCTGCTGGTCTTCTGTCTCGCGGGGTGATTGTTGCTGGCGTTTTTTGTCTTCGGAGGACTTCTTGGAGTGTTGGTGGTGGGAGGATGGGCGGGGTGGGGGCATGGAGAGTGCGGGTGCGACTTCGTTGGCGATGCGGGCGAGCATAAATGTCACGAAGGTAAAGGAGACGCTGTGGGCGGGGGAGTAGGATAGGTTCTCGAGGACCCAGGCTTGTGTTTCTTCCCAGGAGAGAGGGGATTGTTTGGCTTTCTCTCTTGCTTGGATTTGAGAGTTCATGTTTTGCCAGACGTCTGCTGTGATTATGCCGTCGTTTAGGGAGCGGAGGAAGACCATTAGGGTTTCGCTGAGGATTTCTAGGCGCTCGAGAGAGGATATTTCGGGTTCGAAGATGGTGGTTAGAGAGCCGTTGGTGTCTAGCGATTCGCGGACACGTGCTAGTAGTGGTGCGCGCTCGTCGCGACCTTTCAGTGTCCATGTCTCTGGGTTGAATGGCCATCCTGGTCCGTAGGGTTCTGTCTTCCATGGCGGAGTGCTGTCTTCGGAATCGCCTCGTGTCATACCCCATTCCGCAACGGCGCGTTCGGAGAGTTCAGAGATCGCTTCTGTCACACGGAAAAGCTCGCGAGGGGCAGAAAGACGGATGCCCTTGTCGTCCTTAGCCTGCTCTGGCGGTTGCGGGGCAACCAAGCTGCGTGCACCTGCTTCAGGCATGCGTGTAAGATCCACCACGCTCCGGCCGAAACACGTGGGTAGCCATTGTCCATAGACACAGATGAAATGGTCCGGGCCGTTGGCTACACGGAGGACCAAGATTTCCTCAAGCCTAACGAGACCGTGGTTCAGCAGGCGGATTGTTTCGAGATCTTGTACGTGCGCCGTGACCTCGATGTTGGCAACCTCGCCTGGGACTAACGTCTTTTCCCGCTCGGGTGTCTTGGACTTTTTACCATCGTGTTCAAACTCGGTTCGTAGGCTGATTCTATAGTCAAGCCACAAAAACTGCCTTTGTTCGGGATTAGGCTTGTCGAATGTGAACGTAGCCGGCACGCTGCTGGTGTTGGCAACAGTCAATGAACGAGTAACAGGCACATCAACCGTTATGCCGCCAAAGTCCAGAGAATTGGGGTCTTCCTTTTCTTCGACGTTCCGGATGTCTTCTTCATATTTATCCACCACGACAGTCAGGCCTGGGCGGGCTTCATTCTCGGCCTTATCCAACTCTCGCACGACTTCTTGGTGTACCTTAGCTCTCAATTCCGGAATCACAGATTCGAAAGTAAGCGTGAAACCAGCATCCAATGGCTTGTGGTCAGAAGATAGAATGCCCTGATGCGACACGTAGTACTCGAGTCGAATAGGGCCGTCCCGTTCAAGCTGATACTCCGATGACGTACCATCATCAGACTTATCCTTGGATGGCTCATTTTCCTCGACACTATCCGCGCCATCGACTTCCGGGTCGTAATCGAACAGTACATTATCATCAGCCGCAGCCTTGTCCAAGCCCCGAGCCTTCATCTCTTCGTCCTTCCTTCGAGACTCTGCGAGCTCGCGGTCGAGTCGCTCATGTCTCTGTTTGTCCTCGCGTGTCCGGAACAGGATCCGATCGCACCAACTAGGTCCTCTATGTTTCTCGCTCGAGTCGAACCTGGCCACGCTACCCACGTCATATTTATAAGTCGGTAGGAAGGTGATATCGCCTTCCCGCCATCCCTCGTGGAAAGCCTTTCCATTCTGTTGCTGTATACGAAGCTGGTCATGAGGGAGAAGAGAAGCGATAGTAGTCTGAAGAGAAGCCGGGTCAGTATGCGGGTCAATCTCTTTGTCCGACAGCGCCGGATGGCCTTTGCTTGCGCTGCTCAATGGCGGATCCTGTTCTCCCTCCTCGACAATGATGCGCGGAGATGAGGGACGGTCATCGAGTGTACGTGTCGACTGGTGTCGCTTGTCATATTCGTTGTCCGTGTGTCGAGACAGGACCTGGCGCACATCACCTCCTGGGATATCCCCAAGTCGATAGTTAAGATCACCAAACCAGAAGGCAAAGTCCTCTTTCCCGATGTAATCCGGAGGACCCTTCTCAAGATCGATGGAAGAATATTTCGTGCGGCTGATGATCTGAGCGGCATCCCAATTCCGCCGCTCCAAGTTACCCTTATCCGAACCAGCTGCCAAGTGCGAATTCACAAAGACCATAGATGTAGTCTCCCCAAGCACAACACGTGTCGACACGGCGCCTTTGTTGCCCATGTATCCCAACAATCCAGTACCTATACTGGAAGTACTAACGCCTGATATATTATTGACAACCCGAGGCGCCGCATAAATAAGAAGCAGCAAACCAAGCAGCTGCGTCTCAGCGACAAGCTGGTACCCAGGCGGCAGGGCCTTCTGAACCGCCGTCTTCCACCTATTCGCCGGCGCCGGATCAGTAAACGGCCTCAAAGCCTCCGTCGCAGACGAGATATCAACAATTTCCTGCAATCCAAGAGCATAGAGCCCAACATCATCAGACTCAAAGTCTGCCGATGGAACTGCGGATCCGCGTCTCCGTTGCCTGTCCGAAGCATCCGTAGACGACCTTCTCCGTCCCGTACCAGCATCACCGTCCTTTCTCTCGTTCCATGCCTCGGGCTTCCCAGTGTCCGAGATATGTACCCCCGACAGACCCTCGCTAATTCCCTTGCTGTTCACAAACCATTTCCCGATGTCTTCTTCTGCACCGTGTATGCCGGCGACGTTCCATGTAGCGACTTTAATCCGGATCATTTCTTGCCGGGTGTATTCTGACTTGCGTGCTCTGACGCCCTGCGAAAGCGAGAAGGGATCGAGAGGGCCGCCGCCGGGAGAGACTGCACTGTTGTCGCTGTCCGAGGTGTATCCCCCGGGGGCGGACTGTTGCTCCGCGCTGGGACTCATGTTGGACGTGTAGTTTTTTCGTATTCTCTTGTCAGACTATCGTGTGTAGTCTATGCGCATGGCCTCATTAAGTATGGTTGTGTATTTTCATGCGGAGTATATAACGAGCACGTCTCGCTCGATCGAGACACTCGCACGACACCAGGATGGGGCCGGTCGCACAGAGCACAATTATACCTGCATTTTGAGATTCCCAGACTGAGCGAATCCCTTATGAGTGTCGTTGTTGTATGGTGGTAAGGGTGCGGTGGCAGAGGGCTGACGGGAGGGATGACGACAGAAGGCGAGAGGCGAGCGGAAGTAATTGCAGTAGCCAGGCGAATAATTCAGTATACCAATTATGGCAAGAGAGGAGGGTATGTGTTTCTCAGTAGAGAGTAGAAAGAGAACTAGAAGGTTGGTCGTAGGTTCAGATCGTCGAGGTTAATTGGGAAGCGGCTGAAGTTCTTCTTGCGGGGCCTGCTGCATTCATCTTAACCTTCACCACAACAACCTCTCATCTACCGTACCTGACAGCTTTTTTCATCTATATCTCTATATCTCTACAACCAGACAGCAACCATGACATTCCGCAAAGCCCGCCGCCCAAACAACAACAACAATAACCCCCGTCACAACAACAACAACAGCAACAACACCCACTACCAACCCTCCGACTACGAATCCGACAACTACGCCAACTACCTCTCCGACGCCCAACCCTCCCAACAACAAATCGACCAATATACAGACCAAGAGCAAGAATCCACCCCCCGCCCACCCCTCCGCTCAAATGAAGAACTCAACCTCGCCGTCCTCCGCCGCCACAACCCACGCATCAACTCCATCATCTCCCTAGCCCCCTACGCCGTCGTCTACATCTTCAACCCGGCATCACGGCAGTGGGAGAAAAGCGGGGTTGAGGGGACGTTGTTTGTGTGTAACTTGACGCAGGGCGCGCTGGGGGAGGAGCGGTATACTGCGTTTGTGTTGAATCGGCGGGGGTTGAATAATTTTGATATCCCGTTGACGGATGGGGAGAATGTGGAGATTACGGAGGATTATGTGATTCTTAAGAGTGATGAGGAGGCAGTTGATGCGAATGGGAGGAATGGGGGTAACGGGGGGAAACCGGCTGGTGGGAATGGTGATGTGCGGATCTACGGTCTTTGGATTTACTCGGAGCCACCGCCGAACTCGACTGCGCAGACACGTACTATTAATGCTCAGATGGTTCGTGAATGTGCTGTGCATGCTGGACATAGTCTCCGGATCGCCCGCGAGCGTCTCGAAGCTTCGCAGCAGAACGGACTACACATGGCCGCTGAAGCGGCGGCGACGACAGCCGCGCCGCTCGAGGAGGTGCAGTCGAGTGTTCCGATGGGGAGACAGGTTTCGTTGAAGGATCTTTTCGGACAGCAGAGGGCGCAGGATGATGGATGGACGGTGAGGGCGCACCAATTCGGTATGGAATGGCCGCCGCAGCAAGCACCACCACAGCAAGCACCACCACAGCCGCCGATGGGTATGCCTCCGCCGCAGTCACAGCCGCAGCAGCAGGATGTGTTGGGAGATCTTTTCCGAAGAGCAGGATTGGCGCATCAGGGTGGTCAGGCATATACTTAAAAGAGTCGAACATAGTACACTGTCGAGATACCCATACTATACAAGTCTTACCGCACTTGACCCTCCACAATTGCCCGAATCATATCCTCCGTTTTCCTTGCCATGACCTCGTTAAATCCTAGACAGTTAGCCAACCCACCCTATTCTTCACCAAAAAGAAGTGTAAAAGAACTCACTCAAACAAAAAGCATGCGGCAACCCATCCTCACAAACCACCATCGTAGGCCCATTCCCTTTCCCAATTTCATTGTCACTATCCTTCCCCCGCACAGCAATAATCTCATCCCTCGTCCTCTCCGCAACCCAATGATCATTCCTCCCAAAGTAGAAAAACAACTTCGCAAGCGGCTCTTCAACATCCGACATACCCCATATATCATCGGACCATTTGTCGGATGTGATTGTTTGCATTTCGTCGGCCCCGAGATGTCTGCCACCAGTCAGTTCGTATCCAATCCGAGGTGTCAAAGAAGAAAGTAAATGGAGAAGGAAAGTAGGGACGTACAAAGCTTGCCTAACCCCCCTACTCCCCAAAAACCCACACGTCGTATCAACAACAACTCTATCCGGCGACTCCAGCGACGAAGACAAGCTCATAAACGCGGCGACGACCAAACGCAGAAGTCCACCAGGAAGTAAAGCCGACAGTACCCTAGCAAATAAACTCGCTATAACCGCGAGGCCAGGAATCAAGCTCAGTAGCTTCTGCACATTATTAACTGTATTAGCCAACGTCCACTATAATTGACATGAGAAGAGGTAAAGAAACGAACGCTTAATCGCTGCCCAGCAGGCGACTTGGCAATATCCACGACAGTAGGGAAGAGCATGACCCCGCCGATGATGTCGAATTCTGCTGCTGTGGTGTTATTTGAGGGGGTTGTGATTGTAGTTGCATGCTGGCGCTGTCTTTCACGGTGTCGTCGGAGGACTTCCATGGCGATGTAAGTGCCGACTGAGTGGCCGATGAGTATCACTTTGGGCACCTCTCCATCATGATTTTGTTGATTCTGCTCATAGTGGTTTGTGATGAAACTGCCCAGTTTCCTTTGGACATAAGAAATCTGTTCTTCGAGGTTATAGTAATGTCCCTTTTCCTCTCCCTCTCCCACCGCTTTCTCTTTCCTTCCCTCCTGTTCCTTGGACAATTCAAACCCCGCAAGACTATGCCCAAAAACCTGGAACGAACTCCCACCATCCAATCCCAACCTGTCAGACAACAAAGAGAGAAAAGTATGGTAGTAGCCGATTAGGCCTGGGTTGCCGGTGATGAAGAAGATGGTTATCGGTGCCTTGTCGCCATTGGCGTTTGCAGGGAGGCGCAAGAAGGAATCTGGGGTTATGAGGGACATTTCCGTTTGTATAAACGGGCAAATGCTTGGTATATGTCCCGATATCCTGGTGTGCTATATACAATTGAACAGAAGGATAGCAAGTCAGGGATTGATTGGCGTCGGAGATCAATCGATAAGGTGCCTCGGCTTAAGTTGTTATCAGATCACTGGAACTCTATCCAAGTTCAATTCGAGGTGTCTACTTTGAACCAGTTCTCACATTTAAATCTCTTTATTCGTATTGATCAATTCAGGGCCGTACTATACAAAAAATGCCATTGATGCGACCAGGCTTTCTCATGTTCCATTGATGAAAAAAACAAACACAACAAATGCGCCAAAAAAACAAAAAACGACCTCGGAAAAAAAAAAAAAAAAAAAAAAAAAACAATCATATACTCTGTTCACTCTGTTCGCATGCATGGCACAGCCATGGTAATAAAAAGACATACCAGAACGTAGGTTGGCTTCCCCAAATCTCAACTGGACCACAACGGTCTGCAAACTGGATATCGAAATATGTGAAACATTTGTACTCTATTCGAAATTTTGGTTATTTTCTTCCATTTTCCCGCGAATGCAACAGTCCCAAAAAGACGTATGGGAAAAGGAATCGTAAAGAAAAAAAAAAAAAAAAAAAAAAAAATTTAAACCGAAGGATGGTATCTGTCGCTGTTTTAACCACCTTTCCGCATCGATTCGTCAGCCGGGAGTGGTTCTCCGCCGTGGTGATGAGCACTGGCCGCGTTTGACCTGGCGTTCTTCTGTTTCTTCTTTTTGTTGGTCTGCCAGCCACCATTGCCGTGATTAGAGTCATGAGTCGTGTTCACCCCATTCATCTTGCGGGATGCATGATGGTCGTGATGTCGTTCTTTGTCCGCGGACGAGTGATGATGAGATGCATCGTGCCGGCCCTTAGGTTTTGACTTGTGATTGACTCCGTGGACCTTTTCAGACGCATCGACACCGTTGGGTCGACGTTTGTGATGGGATGTTGATGTTGACTCGGTTCCTGTCGTTGCAGAACCAGACGCTGACTGCCCTTTCTCCGTCGACGCAGATTGGCGATGATTGAGCGTGTCCTTGGCGGCCGGATGATGAGTCTTTCCCGATTTCAACGGGGGCTCCGCCACCTTCTCCGTGTTTGAATGGTGAAGGTTTTGTAGTCTGGTTGAAAGCAATCCCGGCTTCCCGTTGCTATGACCGTTTACCAGAGGCTCGCCGGATTGGGCGGGCTTTGGGGCGTCAGCCGGCCGCGAATACCAGGATGAGGTATGGTCGATATCGACAGAGCTGTTGTCCTGATAATCCTGAGAAAAGGTATCCGAGGCACTAGCCGGAGTGTCGGTGTTAGGATCGTCCGAATTCGAGTTATACTGACTCGACGAAGCGTATGAATCTATGTGTTCAATCGGATACACAGGACGAGGTTCGCTAGGAGGCACGGACCCATCCACAATTAGTGGCCCGCGATCTGCAGACGTCGCAGCTCGAGGCGTCGACCGTTGCGATGACGGCGCCTGCGGTGTCACTGTCTTGTTGGTCGATGTTGACTGTGTGTCAGATGAGCCTGCAAAGGCATCCTGGGATGCTGACATTGCAGCCATATACTCCTGTGGATTCACAATGGGGATAAAACCGCCGTTTTGTAGTGCAAGCCCGACGGGGGCTGCCGGTAGGGAAGATAACATGCCGGCCTGTTGATAGGCCTGCAACTGCGGCGAGGTGGCGAGGTAATATCCCATGTACTCGGTCGGTCGATTTTCGTCCAAGTATGTAGATCGGACACCGTTAGGCAAGCTGCTAGATGTAAACGCATTGATCTCTTCTTCCCCTTGGGACGACGAAGATCCTTCCTGTGAGCCACCTGAGCCTTGACGCGGTTTCGACGTCTGCGACCCATCCATGGGTTGTGATACAGCATAGAGGGGCGCAAAGCTCGGTAACGTTGTATTGTTCATCGAGCGTGCAGGTTGCGATTGTGCGCGCAGCGATGCGCCCGGTGACCCGTTTGCCACTGATGACCGTCGAGGATTGCGACGGAGTTCAGACATTGCGGCGGCGGTCGATGGTGATGGAGGGCTGGTAGTGGTTGCCGGCATCCCAGCGACAGCCACCGGATAATAGGCCGGGTTGTAGTAGCCATATTGCGGACGAACCGACGCACCATTCTGATTGTTGATCGTACTTGACCTCGAGCGAGAATTCTCATCACCCGAAGAAGATGTTGGTGGCGAGGACGACTCTTGCTGCTGCGACGGTTGTTGTTGCTGTTGTTGTGTCGGGGATTGTGATGATTGTGGTTGCTGCTGATTTTGCTGTTGCTGTTGCTGGGGAAGCGGGAACTGGATAAAGGGTTGACGAATAACGACGGGAGGTGAACGACCGGTAATGAGCGCCTGACTCTGAAGCTGGAGCCGCAGCTCTTGCTCCTGGGCTTGCAGAATCTGGATTTGTTGGTACAGATGGTCGTGTAACAGATACTGCGCATGCTGGGCCTGCAGCGAGAGCTCAGACGCGCTCATGCCGTTATTGTTGCGGAAATTGTTGGCCTTGTTCGGAGTATTCGACGTTCGACGTCCCGTGTGGCCTCCACGGCCGTATTGATTTGGATTCCGACCCCCACGGCCACCACCCCGGCCACCGCGAGAAGAATTGGAGGGGGCTGAGAGAACGGGTCGCGGTTGCGGAGGTGGCCGTTCCCATGTCCGCTCCTCTTCTGGGGGGTATTCGTACTGTTCACAACAGTCGGTTAGGTCTCCCTCGGCAATGAACTTGAACGCGCGACGCAATTCAGTGTGGACACCGCGAAAGGACGTGTCGTCGGCCGTGTTGCCCAGATTTCTCGATGTGTTGAATGGTTCTTCGACGCAAAGGCGGTTATTTTGGAGTAGATGCCAGCCCTTGGCCTCTTTGGAAACCAGTTTGCCTTCCCGCACCGAAACGACATACTTTTCGTAGTTAAGGTCGTGAGCATAGTAACGGAAGAATTGAAACAGCAACTCGCCCAGGGATTGTCTGTTCTTCTTGCCAAAATCCGCCAGCGCATCGAGATCGTCGTCAAAGGAACACATTAAACCATCTGCGGTTGTGCGTTTCTTGTGAGGACGTGCCTGAAGACTGGGGAGGACTGGCGGATCTCTAGTTTGAAGAAAATTGACGATCAAACAGATCCATGTATAGGAACTTAATGTGCCACCCAGACCTATATGAGTCAGTCAAACCCTCCACGGAAGAATGTTCATAGCAAAGATAGTGAAATTACCAGCATCATTCAGTATCCTTCGTTTTGTCCAGTACTTGATGATCATCGCCAGCGGCCGCACACGCTCATCGATCTCGACATAGGTCCGGACCATGCGGGTGTTTTCGAGGGCTAATGTGTTATTGACGTTCATATCACACGCCAGCCGGAGTTCGGGATCCCAAATCTTTACGATTGGAACCTTGGCGTGGGATATACACACGACACGTTCCATGCCGTCTGTTCGAAGAGTTGTGTTGTCAGAATAGGACCAAAGAAAAGTTGCCAGAAATGGGACTCACGTCGCGCAAGGACTTCCGCTAATAAACACACGTGCTCCAGTTCTTTATATGTCGTAGTTATACATATATCCACTAAACCATGTCAGCCTCTTCCTTCACCGTAAAATATTGTCTCCCAAGAACAAAAAACGTACCGTCCGAGTCACTGGAACAGAGTTTATTCCCCGACGAACCAAAGACGTTAACTTTGATGTTGTTGCCCGGCCACTGATCATTGAAGAGTTTTTCGAGTTTGCGAACGAGTTGACGGCGTCGGTCGTCGCTCTCCGCGGAGGGAAGTAACCGATCGTAAACCTCCATTACATCGTTGGTGATTCGCTGCTCCTCTTCGGGTTCGAGCTTCTCCTTGAGACCTTCCTTTTCCTCCGGCAAGAGATCAGTCCCGATGGTATAGGGCATGCGTCTCCGGAAGAACGCCATGGCGGTTTCATATTTGCAACCGGCGAAGGGTTTTCGTAACGAAGGAGGGAGGTGGGTAGTTTCGGAGTGCGTCGAACGGGGAGAGGTATTGCCATGACGAGGAGAGGGCGAACGGGAGTGGAAGGAGAGGTTGCGCGCATGCTGGTAGGGCGTGGAGGGAAGGGAATTGGATTGATGCGAGGTCAATGGCGGGCGAACCGGAGCCTCTGATGCCGTGTGAGCAGCGTCCGAGGGCGCCATTGGGGAAGAGGAAGGTTTTGCGGAGGTTATTGGTGAGTGGTCACCAGGAAGGGCAGGAGAATTGGCGTTTCCATGGGTGTTGTTGTCTGCCAGCATATAGCGAAACCAGATCCAACGTCGTTTTCACAACGTTGGTCTCCCAAAAAAGAAACTTCGAGAATGAGGGGTTAGAAAGGCGAAAGTGTGAGAGAGGGAAGAAAATAGGTAGAAAGAGATCTCTAGAGAGCGCGTTTGTGACCGGATATGGAGACGTTTGGTGTGCCGAACAGAACCACCCACAAAGCAGGATCCGATGGAAGAGACTGAATATGGGAGGATTGGTGGCGAGAGAACAATAAAATCGGGGGTCGATATAGGATAGACAGGTATTTAGGAATGGAAGGAAAATATGAAAACACCGAGAAGAGTCAAGGAGAGGTCAGAATGGAGGGAGAAAAGACGGAGAGGAGGAAGTCGTCAGTTATAGTAAGTCGGTGCAGCAGCAGTAGCAGCAGCAGCAGTAGGGGAGTTGCGTCGGAGAAGCCAAAGCAACAGATGGGGGATTTCGCCGCCCGCTGCTGGGGGGAAGGAAAGGTATTTGGTACGGTGAGATAATAGGGAGGGAAGAAAAAGGAATTCAGCTGAAAATATGGTCTGGAATGTCGTAAGGAAGAAGTAGTAACAGATCACAGCGCGAAAAGGCGAAGAGGTGAAGAAGAGGAGAGGAAAAGGGTGATTGGAGTTCGGGGGATGCGCTCTGCGGTCGATCCGCCGTTGCCCACGTTCGCGTTTATTTAATGCTAGTCTGCACGATCAGTGGTCAGACTTTAATTAATTTTAAATGAGAATTGAGTGACAGTAAAACAATCTAAAGGGGGGAAGAAAACTATACAGCCCAAGAGGAAAATAAGAAAAAACAAAAGAAGCCAAAACCTGAATGATTCGGATACAGGGAATGTATGCTGACCTGTCCAGGAACCAGATTCAGTAAGGAAAGAACTGAGCGAGGGCGGAGATAGGAACTATTAAACAGAATAGGAGTTAGTCTGCAGTAAAGAGATTGATTTGAGATCTATTCTATATCTTATACAGGGTCAATATGTACTGAAAGAAGTCGGGGTCAATATAAAGAACAACGATAAAGACCGGGGGGGACACTCGTATTCGAGGGATTCATTGTCCGGGGTAGATATCTATAAAGAAGCATATCTTGTTCCATATTGCTTCTATCACTTTTTATATGCCTGCCTGTGTCGACTGTACGGAGTATCTCTCTGTCTACGGAGTACTTGTATGGACTACCGGTGTACATACATGCCTAGGGCATCCACTACTGCAGGTGGTCTGTACAGGACAGAACTTGTTCCTGTCTGAACAGGGGTCTGGATGGAGTGCAGGACTGGTATCCAGTGAGGACCTTAATCGGTCTTTCTGCATGCTTGTCCTGTAAGTGGTTATTATTCTATCACAGTACAGAGTATAGTAGTCTCTTAATTTTGTTATATCACCGGAGGACCGACCCCACCTCCTGAGCACCGAGGGATATGCTATGGCAGCCCTCTTAAAGTCTCATATATCAACATGATACTGGTACTCATACTGGTCATTGTTATCAGTAACAGATTGAGTCTGGTTACCGTACTCTGTACCAAAAGGGGCATTGGGAGTACAAATAGAGTGCAGTCCGGAAACATATAAACATTGCATCCATGGTATCGGTTCTCGATCTGAATGTAGCAATTGACTAGACTAGAATATATCTCTCTTCCTATTCAAAAAAGATCAATTGATAGTAACACACCCACTACTGCCACGGAAGAATCCGTAGCGCACGGTAGTCCGATTCCGAGTGTTTCCCTGTGTCTTTTTGTGTCTCCCACTTTTTTTTCTCGCTCCACTCGGTTGTGTGTGTGTCTTTTTTTTTTTTTTTTTTTTTTTCCTTTTCACCCTCTCTCCTTCGCTCAGAGACTTATAGAATCAACTTTTGTATCATTAATTACTAGGGATTCAATTCGTATTACTGTATCTTTTGGTTGTTATTATTATTACGACTTTCTTTCCCCCTCTTAATTTTCTTTTTCTTCTCTTCTCCAAGGTTGCTGTTCTGCTTCCTTTTCTCCTCTCCTCCACCTTTTTTTTTTTTTTCCCTTTCCTCCCATCCCCTCTCCCTCTTCTTTTTTGGAATTCTGGATTGACTGTGGGTGACTTGGTCCGGTCAGTCCTTTTCCAATTCCGTTCATAATCTGCCTCGTTGACTCGTGGTAGATAATAGGCGTCGCTCTTTGGTAGGTCTTTCACTCTTTTCAATTGTTGTTCTCTGCATCTCCGGCAATCCCGGTCATCTCGACGGCCGTGCGTCTGGCACCAATGACATGATACCCCCGGCCATTATGACGGTGGTTGCAGTGCAGATGCCTCTTAGCAGGGAATTTTATAAGAGAAAGAGAGCTCATGACTGCTGCGGTGCGCATTATTCGGCATATTTCACCCCCCCATAAATCGTCATCGCTCGTCGCCATCGCCTCTCACTTCTCTCCCACACTTTTTTCTCTGCCTCTCTATCTCATTACTTAACTTATCATGTCTTTCTGAATATCATTACTTTTTTGTCGTGTCCATTTCTCCTTTCGGTTATCGCTGCTTATCACCTCCGACTCCGTTCCACGCTGGCCACGCTGACTGACGCTGTATTTATTTTTTTTTCCTCTCAGGATTCCCCTTCGCCGCTTCGAATCTTTTTATTCTTACTCTAAATCCTCGGTCCTCCTTCTCCCTCCGTGAACGATCGCCATGTCGTACTACGAGCCTCAGGGTTGGCAGGCCCCCGCCGCGCGCCAGGTTTCTTGGGAACAGCCGATTCCTCCATCTCGGTCAGGTAGGTCCGGTATCATGGTCGAATTATATACGGTCAGAAACTCATGCTCGTTTCGCTCGTTAGGATCCAGCTCGATCTCCCAGCGCGAGGAAATGCCGGCTTTTTCGTCCCAGTTCGATGGTATGCATAAGCTCGTCCCGATTCTTTCCTGCACAGATACCCGGTGGATGGTCCCGGTCTCGAAATCCGATGATGTGGAATGTTTCTTGGGTCTCGAAAAACATACGTCGTGACACTGGCTTGGTTCTTCGGCTATACTGAGGGGTATTCTTAGACATATCGGCTAACATGTCCTCTTCACAGAGGTCGATCGGGCGGTTGACAACCTCGTCAAGAGCGGTAAGCTGTGGAATGCTCCGCGGAGGGACTCCATGCCCCTCATGATGGGTCGTCCTTATGCCGACTACGGTATGCCTCTTCTGTCCCGGTTGATATACCCAATCTGGCACATATTCTAAACTTTACAGATTCTCGCATTGCTAGCGCCATGGCCTCCCGTCACCACTCAATCAGCGAGTTCGATGGCGCTCGCCCCCACCCCCCAAACACCCAAGGCTTCTACACGCCTCAACGATTCCAGAACCGTCCCAATGAAGTAGAGCAGATGATGCAGGCAAAGCGTCGGATGGCGGCACAGCGTGAAAGGGAACTCCGCAATTACCACCAGGAGCAGCAGTACAACCGAAGTACGTGGTAGCGCTTTTTCTTCGTCATGACCATTGTTTTCACTCCGTTCTTTTTTGATATTCCCCGCGATTTTCCCGTGCATCTTGTGTATTCGGCTGCTTTGTATAATACATTGTGTGACTCGACATCACCTCTTGCATTTTTGGCTGGTTCTCTGCTTTTGTTCTCTCTCTCTCTCTCTCACTTCTTGAACATGGTTTTAATTCTTATTTTGTCTTCCAAAGGCCTGCTTTCCGAAATGTCTGGCAACAACAAGCCCGAGCGTTCTCTGAGTCCCGCCGCGATGAGTGAAGAAAGCCGTCGAGATCTACTTACTCGCCAACACCGAGCCCTGTACGGCAATGATAGTCCCGCTTTCTTTCCTGCGGGCGGTTACGCTGATGACGCTTCGCGACCTGATAGCCAGGGCGGTACCGGAACTCCTTCCTCGGCCACCGGCGTGAGAGGCCCTTCCCCCCGCGGTGTGGATCCCTTCGGTTTGTCCCACGCCCATACCCCGGGCCCAGCCAGCACCGACGGAGTTGTGCACACTCCCACCGCTGCGTCCGCGCTGCAGTCCCCGAACCGCGCGAATAGCACCTCGTCCCCCAGCTCCGGCATCAACCCCGTCTTTGGTAATCCCGCAGACCAATCGGTCACATCCACCTCGTCGCCCGGTGGAGCCGACTCACCGTCGCGTACAGCCACTTCCAAGTCCACCGCCGGCCCCATTGGCTCGGTGGGTCCCATCGGTTCGCGGCCGATCCCCACTACCAGCTCCGTCCCCAACCCAGGCTTGACTAAGCGTTCCACCACACCGCTGCCCTCCCCGCTGGGCTTCAGCTTCACGGCCGGTGATGCTGGCAATGATCACTCGGCTGGCATCCCTCCTGCTTCTGCCACCGGTGCCCCAGTTGGCTGGGGCAACGGCAGCGGAGTGTGGGGATCCAAGAGCGGCCTCGGCGTTCAAGCCCCTGTTTGGGGTTAAAACATTGATCTTTCACGTTTTCAGCATTCATTCATTCCAACATGAGTTCGTTCCGCAATGTGGCGTTGTGAGAAAAAGGTTTGACTTTGACGATTTTCATTTTATTTTTATGCTTGACATACCAAAAACGAGCATGGTACATATACGACCAAGATGATGAAGGGATCTTTTGTCTTTTGGGTCTGATCCATATGTGGAGAAACGGATTAATTGCGTTTTTGTCTATTTCATTCTCGTACATGGTTGATTTACTGACGATGGGAACGTGGTTTTGTTTGGCCTGTTGGTTCTGGAGTCGGTATTCCCTTGTTTATTTTGTGTGATGTGCATGGTCTTTTTTATCTGTTGTCTATTTTGAATCTTGGATTGTTTCTTGGTCTGTCTCCGCAGCCTGTGCTTGTGAGTGGTGTCTTGTCTCTCGGGCTTTTGGGAGTGGGTTTTCGGTGTTTTTTGTTCGGGTCTGGTTGCGCGAGGTATGCCTTTTCTGTTTAGATTTAGTTCTGGGGCTGGGTAAAAAGGATTTGCCTTCTCTCTTTTATGCTTTTGGTTTTATGTTTATTGTTTATTGTTTATTGTCCATCGGTTTTGGCAAAGGCAAAGGCTCTTACATATAAAAAAAAGGGGTGGGATGGGCTGCTTGGCATTAAATTGGTTGCTGCGGTTGCATGGGTGTCTGCCCTCACTATCTACTTATTGTATTCTGGATATACGTGAACAGTGAAAGTGATATTCATTCTTGGGTATATGGTATTAAATTCATTCAATAAACGTGCTATATGTGGTATATCTGGACATCAAACGATACTAGGGTCCCTTCTCTCACCTTCCTCTCGACCCTGACCCTGATCCTCACCAGTGGAACCAGAACCAGAACCAGCAACAACCCCCCTCTCAACACTCGCACCAATCTTCCTCCTCGCCGTAAACAACCCATCAACACCGCGTTCCTGATCCTCACCTAACCACGGCTTCCTCGCCTCCGCCAACACCCGCCGTCCAAGGAAATAAATCAACTGCCCCACAATAATCAACACAAACGCAATCGGATACATCCAATGCACCGTATAATGAAACACCTTGATCCCAATACACACACTCCAGAAGTTCATGGTAAGCATGGAGATATTGAAGAATGCTGCGGAGGCGAGACGGAAGAGTAGTGGTGCGAGACAGTAGAATAAGGTCAGGCAGAGGGTGTACCCGGTAAGATAGCCGCCGACTTTACTGTTCCAGTGCGCGGTGCGGAACGAGTCGCGGTCGAAGATGCCGGCTTGGGCACCGTTGATTATTAGGGCGTAGAGGGACATTTGGCCCAGCACTTCATACATTGGCCGTTTACTGACGAAGTACTCCTCGAAGGTATTCGTGAGACCATAGAATGTTGCGCCCAACAGCGCAAACAGATCACCCTTCAACTCGTCCGAAGCCGCCCCCTCGCCGCCGGTGATATGGTCCGAAGCGATGAGCACGCCCATGCCGCCGATGCAGATCAGGATACCCACGATTTGAGTCATATGGTAGCGGACGCGGAGGAAGAGGAAGGAGACGATAACGACGACAGCGATGGCCCAGAAGTTGATGAGGGAGGCGCTCATCATGGTTGTGTATTGGTAGGCGAGGACGATGAAGTAGTTGCCTTCGACGTCGCAGAAGGCGAGGATTATATCTGCGCAAGTACACATTAGTGACTTTTTATGGGATTGTACTGGGGGTGGGTGTAATACATTTCCATCCATCATACCACACTAAGCGGAGCCAGCGCTTGAAGCCGTAGCGGTATATTGTGTATGGAGTGAAGATGAGGGTTAAGAGGACGTAGTTGAAGAACGTTTGGAAGGCAGGAATCGATGTCCCTTCGAGGTTCAGTAGTGTCGTGAATGTACTCGTTGATGTGTTGGTGATTGCCAATATTTGTCTATCCCGTCATTAGTATGGGCTTCAGGCCCGATCAGAACCTGATTCCGGAATCTTACCCCAGCAGCAAAGTGATATAAAACTCCTTCGTCTTAAAGTATGCTAAAAACCCCTTCTTCTGCTCGTCTACCTGGTCCCCTGCTGCCGGTGGCCCTCCTTCCCCTCCATCTCCAGATCCAGATCCGGATGCCTCTGGTTCTCCCTCCGCGGCGGTGACAACTACCGAGGCATTTTGTTTCGGTGAGAGGAGCGGCGACAGGGTATTCTCGGGTTCGGTGGAAGTAGTTTGAACGGTGATCTGGTCTTTGGGATTGGCCATTGTACGCCCGTTGTACTATTCTTGTGTCGCGATCCTGGTGTTCGGTATGAGTCGCACGGTCTGCGGATAAGTGGTGAACAAGTCTTCAGACCCCAGGTGCAAGGTTTTTCAAGTGGACAGCGCTGGGAGGACCAAGCAGAGGGGTATGGATGCCGAATGAATAGCCAATTCCAACTGCCCAGAAGCCAGTGGCTGGCTGAAGAAAAAATCAAAAGAGGAGAAATCTCGATCCAGTCCGCACTTTTCCTCATCGGGAGACGTTCCGTCATCGATAAGAAGCCGAGTCTATGTGGGGCCGTTCAGACCAATAATAGCAGCCTGTCATTGCGCTTAACCTATCATATAAGGTTCAGCGATGTTCCGCTGGCGGGAATGGCCGATAGCCAATCATATCCTGTTGATGTTTCTGCCTTGCAAATAAGGTGATAAGGCAAGCACAGACAGGACAAGATGCATGCGAAGAGCCGCTTTGCGCTTCTGCATTGACAATCACCGTTCGCTGGACTCGCCAGGATTCGTTCGAGTCTGCAGTCTTCCTGATATGGTCAATGTCAAAAAAGAGGCTTGTTTGAGTACATGTCACATGACTAGATGCAAGACCGGAATGACTTCATCTTGCTTCTGGAATCTTTCTAGCAGGATACTTGTACAAGTCATACAGATTATGTACGGGGGGCATTAGTATGGATGAGAATGGAAAGGATGGATAAGAACATATAACTATAGAGGCGTTCTTTATCAATGTTATCAAGTAGAGCCCGGACCAAACAATGGCAGCTTAACCATAACCATAATCATAAATCGCCCGGGCCTCGGGATATCCGTTGCCCCCCTTTTAGTGTTCCCCTTAACGAAATCCCCGGTAAAGCCAGTTAAAGATAGTACTCCGGAGTAGGTTAAAATATCACTTGAAACTTGACTTTGCGCTTGTAGATCGCGGATTGCATTGTCAGAAGGCTTCTCGAAGCTGCCCAGCGTAAGATACACAACAATAACAGTGCTCTTCCTGTACGAGTAACGGTCGGGTGATTCTCCGGATGATTCCCATTCTGTGGTCGCGTGTGATATTCTTGTATTATTATAATTGTGTTCACTGCTGCTTTCACTTAATTCTTAATTTAATTTATCTTTTTTTTTTTTTCTTCTGAATATTCTCGCCGAGGCCGACTGGTGGCCCGCCCTCAGCCTGAGAGAGTCTGGCTGGTGTCTGATCTCCATCGCAGTCAAACCCTTCCCAAACATCTTTCATCATCGTCCACCACCACCGCCCATCGCCCGACTTCCACCCCCAACTTCATCCATCAACATCGATTTTTCACTCTCCACCATCTCCTCTATCGCACTATTCAATTTCTTTATCCCCCGCTTATCTTCGCGTCTCCCGTGACTCCCTCGCGACCGCCCGCGACCGCCGCTCTCGCTCTCTCCAATCCCGTCACTCTCCCTCCTCCCACTCGCTCGCTTGCCCATTCGCTCTCCTCTCGCGCCGGTACACTCACATCGAGCCCGGAGTGACGAGACACTGCCACATCTCCTTTTTCCGCCCTGCCCGATCATGGCGCTGGAGCCGCAACCGCCCAGCGTTCGCAAGCGCGTCAAGGTCTACGAACTCAGGGATAATGACTGGTTTGATCGGGGAACGGGGTTTTGCACCGGCCAGTTCTTGGGAGTAAGAATCGCTTGCCCGGGCATTCGCGCAACGTCACCTGCGATCGCGCTTGTTTTTGTCCGAGGAAGATGGTCAGTCGCTAACGCAGGCCTTTTGAAAAATTTTGCAGGATGAACCGCGAATATTTGTCGAGTCTGAAGATGAGCCTGGTCGGGTGCTCTTGGAGACGAAAATAAACAGAGATGATGGGTATCAGAAGCAGCAAGGTGGGTGCCTCCTCTTTGACGGCGTGGTTCACTCGATGGGTTACTGATGGTTGTGCGACTACAGAGACATTAATTGTATGGACGGAGCCCACTGGGACGGATATGGCGCTGAGCTTCCAAGAGGCTGAGGGTTGCGCGGTTATCTGGTAAAGACCAATTCTACTGGGATGGGATTGGTTTGGTTGGCTGACAGTCCGTCAAGGGATTTCGTCCACAGTGTCCAGCACCACATGGGTGTGGCGACAACAGGTAGGACCTGCTGGTTTTATTCATCGCGCGGTGCTTGGCTAATGCGAATCTGCCAGATGACTTATCAGAAGACCTTGATAGCTACCACCAGGTCATGCTGCCCGCGCCGGAGCTCGGGAACCTACCGGAAATTGAACACATTATGAGAGTTGCTAGCATGTCGCAGCCCGGTCGAGATACACTATCCAAGATTGTCATCCGCGATGACTACGTTACCAAATTGATCCCTCTCGTTTCCGTCGCAGAAGACCTCGAAAGTCTACCCGATCTACATCGCCTTTGCAGCATCATGAAATCCGTCATCCTCCTTAACGATAACACCATCATCGAAAATGTCGTCGCCGATCCTCTTATCCTCGGAGTTGTTGGAGCTCTAGAATGTGCGTGTTGGTCATGTGTAATGCAAGATTGGTACTGACGGTTCTACAGACGATCCCGAGTTCCCTACCCATAAAGCAAACCACCGACAATACCTCGCAGACGAATCCCGCTTCAAGGAAGTCGTTCCGATCAAAGACCCCATCATTCGCAAGAAGATACGCTGTACATGGCGCCTACAATACCTGAAGGACGTGGTTTTGGCACGGATTCTAGATGACCCGACCTTTTCCGTCCTCAATTCGTTGATTTTCTTCAACCAGGTCGAAATCGTGAACCATATTCAGTCGAACGCGGCGTTCTTAAAAGAGCTCTTTTCGGTCTTCGACCCCAGGAACCCGGACATGAGACGAAAAGAAGACGCCGTGCAATTCCTCCATCAATGTGCGGTCATCGCAAAGAACCTACAGCCTCAAGGCCGCGCGAGCCTATACGCCAACTTCATCGGCCATGGCCTTTTCGCCGTTATTGCCTTTGCCGTGAAACACCCACGACCGTCAGTGAGAACAACCGGTATCGATATTCTGGTGGCGCTGCTCGACCATGACCCTATCTTGATGCGCGGCTACATGCTCAAGGCCGTCAACGAAAAGAAGACACCCCTCACGGATACCCTGATTGACCTGCTGCATATGGAGTCCGACCTTGGTGTTAAGAACCAATTGGCAGATGCCATCAAGGTCCTGCTTGATCCTCAAGTCACCATGCAGGATGCGATGGGTCGGGCTGGACCCGATTACTTTGCCAAACTCCGTCCCAACAACATCCTGTCCGATGCGTTTGTGCAACACCACTTTGATGAATCGGCCAAAAAGTTGTTTATGCCGATGGGCAATCTCGAGCATCGTACTAATTGTATGTCCTATACTGGCGACTGCCAATTGGAGAGAGCTAATCAATTGTCTAGTTTACGACCTCACGTTCCACGAAGTGGCATTATACGCTCATCTTGTTGATATCCTTGGTTTCTTCATTCGCCAAGACATGTTCAGAAATCGCCATGTTCTCCAAACCGAAGCCATAGCACCACGGATAGCACAGTTGCTCACCGTGCCCCAAAAACATCTCAAACTGGGTGAGTACACAAGCTCCGGTCTTCAATGACACATGTCTAACTATGCATAGCTGCCGTGAAATTCTTCCGCGGCTTAATTGGCCTCCACGACACCTTTTACCAAGCAATCCTGACACGCCACAACACATTCGGCCTTATTCTCGACATTGTCCGTGAAACGATGCCCCGCGATAACCTCCTGAACTCAGCATGTCTCGAACTATTCGAATGCATCCGAAGGGAAAATATCAAAACGTTGATTGTGCATGTGGTTGAGAAATACCGCGAAAAGCTCCTGAGCATCGTCTACGTCGATACATTCATCAACTTGGTCAACCGTTACGAACAGATGCAGGGCTACGGGGCTGAGGCTGAGTTTACGCTATCTGCGCGGGGCGAGGAAGTACAGGCGCCAAGAACGCAGCCCACTGGACAGCGGTGGTCAGGGGTTGGAGAGATGGATGCTGCAGAGGAAGCTTACTTCAATACCTCAGATGATGAGGAGGAGGTGAGTACCGTCTTGAAGTCATACGTTTCGCGGTATGCTAATCAGCTACAGTGGCAGCAAACCAACCCCAATACTGCGCGGGACAGGCCTGCTCTTCCACCTCTTCCAGCCACCAAACCATTAGTTGATTACCCCGACGACGATGACGAAGATGCCATGGATACACAAATGGACTCGACACAAGCCCAGAAACAAGAAGAAAAGCCCGTGAGGCAAGAAATTTGCGCTACGCAAGATCCTAGCATGAGTCCCACAACACCACCCTCTCAACCTCCCCCCGAACGATTATCAGAAAAACGTCGCCGCGAAGAGGAAGACGAAGACGAACTAGTCAAGTTAACCTCTGGTGGACCGAAACGCCGAAGCTCAACGAGCAGTAACTCCGGAAGCGCAGGGTTCTTGCGACGAAAGAGGAGCATAGAAAAGGGAAACACGCAAAGTACCAACAACGTCAGTGCACCACCGAAGAAGATTTCGATTAATATCGGAGCCAAGTCCTCCAACAACACAACAACCACAACGAGCAGTGAAAAGGAGAATTGAGATGAAATAATCCGGCATTGAAGGCAGTTGATCCCGTGACATTCTTTATACGTGTTTCATTTGAACGGCATCCATACATATCGGCGTTTATTTGCACAAATCAATAACCATATATCCCTATTCCCTAGCGAACTGTTGTCAGGATACCTGTCTGTTTTGAGTGTCTTTGCGTTTCCTTCCGGCTGCTTATCTTAAGATACCAGATGAAGTGACGGTGTTTTTTTTTTCGTTTCTGCTTCTCCTGTACTTTTTTTCTCATGCTGCCAACCTTTTTTATTACACGTTTATTTTTGGCATTTTTAGATATCATGTTTCGTTTCGTGTCGTTCCCGGGGTTTGTTTACTTGCACTGGAATCGGAAAATCCATTTTATTGCATCTGTTCTTTCTCTTCTTGGTCCGGGATACTGCCTTCTGCCGGTTACATACATCGTCCCTCGCAACCTGGACGTTGTGGTTATGTATAGAACCCTTTGGTGTTTTCCACTTTCTCATTTTCTTTCGCGTGTGTATTTTGTTTCCTTCATGTGTTTAGGACCTCTGGAGTCGGGTTGTTGGCTCGATGAGTTCAACTGAACGAGATGAGACGGGATGGATGAACTTGCATTTATGCATGTAATGGAATTGAATTTCTCCTTTCATCGATGCTTTAAATAACTTGTTTAGTATAAAGCAGAGCGTAGTTCACCTTAGTAGGCTGACATTTCGAGATAAGATGAGATACAATGAGATGAGATGCAATGAGATGAGATGCAATGAGATGAGATGAGATGAGATGAGATGCTTAGTCAAATCTCATATCAAAAATTTTGTACGGAGTATATCTCAAAAAGAAATTATTGAGATCTCAATCTCATAGTTATTAAAAATGTACATATCTCATCTCAAAAAGTCCCGTGATCAAAAGAGCACTGACCAATAACATGCGCCTCACGGTTACGCGTGGCTACATCCACATAACGGCGCTGTGCCCTAAAGCTTCTTGCGTAATTTGTTTTACCCAGAATAGACTCGTATCTCTTTGAGAATATTGAAGAATACCATTACGGTACTGGATATGAATTACGGTTGAACCAACCCGGTCCGTTGAAATAAAGTTGGATTGGGTTGGTTATGACCGTTTCCCCGGAAATCGACCAAGTTCATCATCATTGCGGAGTAATATATACGGTGGTGTGGTACGGGAAAAACCTACTTTAATTAACATTTCCCTGAAAAAACGCTGCTTCTTTTCAATCCACTTGCAGTTCAGAATGATTCGCTTCATGGATGAGACTTCCGCTGCCGCCTCGCAACGGGGAAGAGCGCGGACGGCGTGCAATTTATGCCGGTATCGAAGGGTACGTCACCTACCAGGACTGGCTAAACAACTTATATGTATTGGCTAATAGTGATGATAGATCCGCTGCGATAGGGAAAAACCAGCATGTGAGACTTGTAGACTAGCGGGTGTGTCGTGTGTGTTCACTCCGCGAGTCGGGCAGCGGAGAGATGTCCGCAGGTGAGACTCCTAACATTTCTAAGAGATAAGCCTAAGCTAATGATCTATAGAGAACTCGCGGAGGCAAAAGCCACAGTGCAGCTATTACAAGAAGCATTAAGAACAGAGCGAGAGCGCCATCAGAGCCAGACTCCGTCTCTAACTCCAAGCCCAGCGGCATGGCTAGCTGCACAAACAGATATACTCGATTCATACGGCTTCGACGCGGCGAAAGATGCCTTTCGGAAACATCTATCATACTGCGACCCATCATTCTTTTCTATTGTTCACCGAACGGGACATACATTCAACATTGATGACTTCCTAGACCAAGTATCTTATTCATTCAGAGCACAATATCCGACGCATCAGTCTAGAACTATTATGCCAAAATGGCCTCCGCGGGAACTAGTCCAGCGCGCGATTGAGTATTTCTCAAGGACGGGACTTTATTCTGTTTTTCCTGTTGTTCAAACGGAGACTTTATCATCAGATATCGATCCGAGTGTCATTTTCCAACCCGGGAATGATATGAAGGCAGCAGATTTAGTCTGTCCAGTTGCGTTGACAGCGCTTCTTGGGAGGATACACAGACACGAGCCTGAATTCGCGGATGCAGAGCCTGATGCATACATCCAGGCGGCGTTGGGCTTGGTACCACAGTTAATGATGGATAGTGAGAATCTAAGAACGTTGGAGACTTTAGTTCTACTGGTGCGTGTCCTCCCCAACAATCAGAAATTATGATCTGACAACAACAACAACAACAACAGGCCCTCTACATCTTCCCCACCAGCCAGCCCCAACTCGCAGAACTCCTCCTCTCCATGTCCGTCCGCATCCTCTACAACCTACGCGCCAACCACCAAACCACAAACCAACACACCCGAGCCCTCTTCTGGCTAACCTATTTCATCGACAAAGACCTCTCCCTCAGACAATTCCAGCCCCCTTTAATCCACGATAGTGATTGCATACTCTCCCTACCAGACACGTACATCTCCGAATCTTCAACTCACCGGTTTCTCTTGAAACCGCTCTCGCCAAATGAACTACTCTTCCCGTCTGATCTTCGGCTGTCTCTTATAAAATCCAAGATTTATAACTTGTTATACTCAAAACATGCTCCAACACAGGCGCAATCCTCAGAAACACAGGCAAGACGCCTGCAACATATCCGCGAATTAGACCAGGAACTCAATGACTTCAAGGCTGCTTTCCCGGTTTCTCTGCCACCGGATAGTTTTTTATCTGGGATGGGGCGCGTTGTACCGGATATTTTGCTGCATGATATGAGTCTTAGGGGGTATAATATTCATTTGGAGTATTGGTTTTGTCTGGGGAGGATTCATGCTAGTGCTGCTAGCACTGCTACTGCAGGGATACAGTCGCCATTATTATCGTCGAGTATGAATTTGTGTCATCAGGTGGCGCGTTCGACGTTGTTGTTTATGGTACGGACGAGGCATTTTATCATGCCTGGGAATTTTTGGTACTCCCTCCCTCCCCTTCCTACCTCCAATTAAGCCACTAACAAAGCCTGACTGTGAGTAGGATCCACGCACAATCCGTCCTAACCTCCATAATCACCCTCTTCCAGTACATAGTCACAGCTCCATCCGCGACAACGGTTGAACAGGATCTAAGCATCCTAGAGAGTATTGCGAATACATTCAGGGACATAGTTGAGAGTGGAAAATGTGGCGATGGTGGTGATGGGCGTTTTCCGCCGTTTTATATCACGGAGAAGTTTGTGAGGTGGTTGGTTGGTTTCGTCAGAGATTCATCTAGGGACATGCATTAGCAAGCACTTGTATAAGGATGGCATTGGCATCGAAGACACTGATTATGTACATCTATCATGTATAATAAATTAGGTACTAGTAATTAAACAAACAACCATGCAAGAAAAAAAAAAAAAAAAAACAATATGTTATAGTAATACACCACATAAACCCCTTCCCAAACCAACCCATGACACTAATAAAACGCCTCAATAAGCATATACGGGAAAATAACCACACAAGCCGTCCAAAACACCAGCACGCACTGAATCAGCGCCAGCGGCAACTTCCATAACGGCGCGTCGCGGATAATAAGCCATAACGAGAGAAAGGCCACGGAGAAGAAGTGCCAGAAGAGGACGAGGGGGCGCTGGATGAGACCACCTAGGAGGCCGACAGGACCTTGGACGCGGCCGAGTTGGAAGTAGCTGAAGCAGCCGCGTTGGAGGGCGCGGAGGTTTTCATCTGTTTTATCTTTGTTAATGATGTTCTCGGTATGGATTGGGTTGGGGAGGGGGTACCATTTGCTGCGAAAAGAGAGTAAAGAGCTTGGGCGAGGATATTAATAACGGATGATGCCTGCTTGCGTTGCCAGTGGAAGGTGGACAACTGCTTGAGAACTTTGTTGGTGTCTGATAGACTAGGGACCTTCTCCGGGCTGAGCAGATCGCGAATGAATAGCACATCGTTGAAAGCAACCGTCATTCCACCACCAGTCAAGGGATGACGCATATTCAACGCATCTCCCAGAATCATCAAACCATGCGTCTTGTTCGTCGACGCCGGCAGAAAAGAATTAGGCATCGACCGAAGCGTACCCTGTTCCAGCGCAGCCAGAAACGACGGCCGAATACCCTCCGGTAACGACGGCAGAACAACATTGCGCATATGACTCTTCACACCCCCATTCTTCACCGACGCAGACGGCAAGTTCTCAGGAACATCAATAAGAATCCGCGTCTCCCTCGAGCCAATCTGATAAACCAGGATCGGTGGGTTATCACTAAGCAGCACATGTCCAAAATGCGGCATCGGCAACTTCGCATTAATCAACTCCAGCCCCCAAAACCGCGACTTCACCCGTGGCGTATGCGCGTGGTACTGCTTCCGAAACTTCGACGCATACCCATCCGCGACAACAGTAAGATGCGCGAAGTAGCAATCCTGCGTCTGATCCCTGTTCACACACTCCACACCCAGAACCTGCTTGGTATGCGAGCAAGTAATCAACTCCGTCGCCTTTGTCTCAACAATCGTTACATTCGGACACGTCCTCGCCGCCTCACGCAGTTTCATCACGAACCGGCCATGGTGGAACGAGCGGCCCTCCGGGAGCGGGTCGGTGGGCGATTGTCGGGGATACGGGATGGTCACTGGTTTTCCGAAGTATGTCACGTAGTATCCCTCCACGCGGATCGCATCGATGTCATCGAGACAGTCTCGTAGGCCTAGTTGTTCGAGGGCGTGTACGCCGCCGGGTTGGAGGAGTTCGCCCACGATGCGGTCTGGTTCTTTTAGGGAGGCTTCTAGGAGGAGGACACTGCGTCCTTGGCGGCCTAGAGTTACTGCTAGAGCGCAGCCTAGAATTCCGCCGCCCACAATTAAGACGTCTGCGTCATGGTGAATGACTCTGCGTTGTTCAGCGTGGCTGATGACGGGCTTCGAAGATGTTGCGTGGCCGTTCGAGACCACGGAGGTCATCATGGAGTGCGGAGGATGGACGGTTAACGGTCAACGAAATCGGTGAGTGAATGACGGATACTAGAGCATAATCTCGTGAGAATTGTTTAAAGGAAAGGAATTGAGATGATGGCTTCTGGAGTGTTAGATTAAGGGGGCAATATGGGAACTTTTTTAAAGTGGCGTGACATGTGAAAAGGCGGTCTTGGCATCCAGGAACTGACATTGTATGATCTTCCTTTTTAGATTGGTCACCTGACCTATATAGTACACTAAAAGTACAATTTCATGAATATATACACGTTGTTAATGACATAAATAAAAGATATGACGAGTCGTTCTCCCATTAAAATGCACACATCTTCTGTCCCAGATCACTCGACCCCTTTTCATCACCGCCGGACTTGTCCATGGACAGCAAAACAGACTCCAATTCGTACTTCTCATCCCATCCCTCGAGAACATCATATATCTTCTCCTTTTGATAGAGAGTCGCCTCATCAAGAGGTCGTTCCGGTCTGTTTTGTCTGGGAGTTGGCTCCTCGTGGTTGATCTCAGGTTCCGACTTGTTAGTGTTCTTCTCACTTCTCTGTTCAAGCAGATCGGCAATATGATCCAAATACTCCAACCGCTCAGTGTTCGCTGGCGACGGAGAAGCGCTGAATTCCCGATGCAAAACACCCAGTACCCGACGAACCTCAACTACCAAGTCCCAAGTAACCGGGCCACGCCGCGCAAGAGCACACAGAATACCCCATCGGATACCCGCAAGGCTCCCTAGATCCGCAAAGACACGTACGAACATCTTCATACATACACCGTCAAATTTTGCAAAACCTCGGTACCGTGACATGTAGACGGCTGTGAGGAGATCAAGAGCGATATCTGGCTTTCCCAAAACGATCAGTCGCCGGCTAATGGCTACTGTGATATGGTGCTTCAGATTCATTTTCTTGTTGATCAAACAGAGTTGGTAAAATCGGAAAATTGCCGTCTTCACTTGTTCGCTCTCTGCTGTATCGGGGACCTCCATAATTTGAGTGAAGAACCTCGGGTTGGACCAATCTGGGAGGCCTTGACGTTCAGTATCAATAAAGGCCCGCGAGGCAGTAATGCCATGCTCGAGTAAGGTTGCAATTGCCGCCAATTCCAGGTGAATCTGCTTCATGTGGAATCCCGCTTTTCTGCCAGTGTTGAAGCATTTCAGAGCCTCCGCCATCTTGCCTGCATGCATGAAATGCGACATTTGCTTGTGAAGCCTCTGGTACTGGTCGACAGATCTGGACGACGTAACCTCCTTGAGTGATCGTTCGTACCAAGGCATTGGTTGCTGTGTGAAGGGCAGTTTGTTCACTTCTGGTGACGGGAAGGATCGCTGGTCGTATCCGAGGATTTGTTGTGATGCAGCCGCCTGGCCGTGTCGTATCCGCGCTGCTTGGAGCATCTGCCAGAATCCTACCGGGCTATCCTCAAGCGCCAAGCGTCGAGCCCGTAACGTTTCGAGGAATTCTTCTTCGTTGATCTTGATCTTCCAGGACCGCTCACGCGCCATGTGGATAATTTCGGCTATCATGCCCTTGTCTCCTTTCTCCACGAAAGCTTCTAAAATGTGTTTGTAAAGGACTCGATCCGGCATGATGTCGTATTTGTCGATGCAACGGAAGACATAATCACGGATCTCCTGTCCCGAATGCGAAACCCAGTACTCCAGGAATATGCGGTCGAAAATTCGAACAAAGTCGAATCGTCGTCTGGTTAATTTGAGATCATGCATCTTTTGCAATCCAGATTCAACACCTTCCCAGTCGCACCGCAGAGCCCTCCCGTGCACCAGCAAGCCCATAGTCCGACAATTAAGCGGCAGGTCATAGGTGGTAATCATTTTCTGTACTAAAGCTTCAGCATCACCCAAGCGGCCGAACTCGATATATGCCTTGACCACGGGGTTAAAGAGCTTGTCAGTGGGCGGCTTGTCTAATTTCGGTAAGACAGCCAATAGTTTCATCAGTTGTGTGTTCATGAGCTCAATGCTCCTCGTTTTCTTCCAAAGACCTGTCAGGAATGCACCACACAAGCCGCAGTCACGATCCACATGCAAGTTTCTCATTATGAGCCATTTCGCAGTCGCAAGCCTGTGGGACTCGAGCAAGGACCGGAGGACAATGTCCACCATTTCGGAATTAAGGCGGAACTTAGTCCGGTACCGCGTGAAGAGGGATGCAGTGGATTCAATGGAACCTTTCTTCGCCAGTGCAAATAACAGCTCATTCCACATCCGTGGTGTGACCGAGTTCTGGTCCACCTCTTCCAGCCGCTCAAAGATACTCTTTGCCATAAACACGTTTTCCTGGCTGCAATTGACGTAGAATGCTCGTTTCGCAAGCTCCTTTCTTCCTGTCGATATGCCTTTCAGCGAGGCGGGATGTGCTTCCAGGAATATTTGCGCAGCTTCTATTGGTCGGTCATGATCCAGTAGCATCTGCATTTGTTGGGCGGCAGGTGTTCCCTCCTCAATTAAAGACGTGAGCTCCTTCATGCCTATTCGGTCTGTGTTCGACTTTCCAACAGCACTCCCAAAGCTCTTATTCGAATATTTGAATCGTAATCGCTTCGGGTATTGCCATTGAGCATCCGGTTTATCGGACGGCGTAGTTTCCGGTAACGTATCCTCCTTTTCCAGAGCCTTAAGATCTTCCTCAATAGCGGAGTTGGTCTCCAGGCCATGCGACCCCGCATCAACCTGAAAACCTCTCTGTACATCATGCACTTTCCGATTATCCTCCCTCACCGACTCAGAACCATTAAAATCGCCCGCCTCCGCCGCCTCCATCATTCTTGCCAGTCGTCTCGCCGCGGAAGTCGCATCGTAATTCGGCGCGGAGGTCTGCAACGCCCGCTTATTCTCGACAATTCGTTCTGCAACGCGGACCCTCCGGTGCATATCATATGTAATCGCCGCCACAGTGCAAAAGCTCCCTACCGTCGAGCCTGCGAGTGCTAATCGTCGTAGAAGTCGGAGGGCATTTCGAGACGGAACGGCCGGGGTGCCGGCGGTGCTGCTTGTCGGTTTAGTGACCATGATTTTGGGTGAAAGGGACCTGTGAACCGCGCGGGCAGCGGGCTCATACAGGTCTCAGATATGGTGCATTGGCGAGATTTCAAATTCTCGGGGTTCTGGGAGGGAGTTGGGTCGTGTGGTTGGCCGTGATCGGATCAATGTTGATTTTTTGATGTCGGAAACTTTGCCCGGCGTTGCGGAGTGGGATCTCGCTCGCCGTAAAATCATATGATGGCACTATTCCGCTTTGGGGTTTATGCATATGGTACATGTGCATAAATCTTATGTCGATATCGTTCCATTTAACCACTTCATTGTTCATGACATTCTTGTAGATATCTATATAAAAAAAAAAAAAGTATCGCATTTCTTACCCCAACGGTAAGATACACATAGGTGAGAAATTTAACTGGTCGCTACATGGCCCGCCATGAACTCATTTAGGTGCATTAAGCACGCAGCAGGGCATCGTCCTCCCTTTCCTCTTCTTCATGGATTCCTTCGTCATTGCCACCAGTGGCATCATCATCAATATCAAGATACGCTTTCAATGACATTAGCGAAGTGGTAGAAGAATGGGAGGGGGGTACACATACTGTGTGGTTTGATAAAGAAACTGCAGATCAGTGCAAGACCGAATATACCGGTCAAGCAGACGAACACCGCTTGGGTGAATTTTCCCACCGTCAGACTATATATCAGACTGAATAACGCAGGAGCAGTAACTCGAGAAAGGGCATGCAATAAGCTGATAGCCCCGAGGATCTGCCCTATCTGATCTTTCGGGACATGCTTCGTCAGCGAAGCTTGCATCAAGGGTGACCCCATGCCTCCCAATGCTGTAATGATGCCCGAGAATGTCAACACGGAACCCTGTTTAGATAAAGCATATCCAACATAGCCAATGACATCAAACACGATTGATAGTCGGATGAGGGTGACGTCCAACATGTCAGAGCCCGCAACAGAATGCTCTTCGGTCGAGGGCTTGCGGAAAATCCGTGTGACAAGTGGGAGGATTAGTAAGAGGTTGACCACCCGGACTATGTTGACGATAAAGACAAACATGCTGGACTCGACGTTGCCCCATCCAAACATGTATTCCGCATAGATGATAACCACCTGCGCAGTGCCTAGGGCCACTCCGAACGCCATCGTATCCATGGTGGATAGAAGAACAAGGTTTCTCCGCAAGTCTCGACTTGCGCCTCCGCGGTTGGGAAAGAAGGTACTTGACCGGCCAACGGGTGGCATCAAGATTAAGAGAGGCGCGATAAGAGTTAGTGGATTCCAGCGAGAAAGCCAGTTAGTCTCCTCGTGCATACGCTTCATCCGATGCTTTTCTCGAGCGATATGTTGCTGCTCCTTTGACAGAGACTCGGGAACAATCAACCAGACTATCAGGCAATAGAGTACCTGGAACGCCAATGTGACGGAGAAAATATCGAAAACGCGGCCACCTTGTTTCAAAACCAAAGCTGCCAGAAATGGGCCGGCCGCAACTCCCGTAAACAAAACTCCATGGAAATACCCAAAAGCCACATTGCGCGTCTCTGGACTAGAGCAATCGGAAGCATATGAAGTGACTAGAGCTACGGCCCCAGTGAAAGAGCCGCCCAGCCCGTCGAAGACTGCACCCAGCAAAAGCAGATTTACTGACGCAGTCTCTGGCTTCGCTGCCACAATAACGATGATCAGCTCCGACAGTACAGCACCTAGTGTGCCTAGTGCGATTATTCTAGTCCTGCCGTAGCGGTCTGAGAGCTGACCTAATTTAGGACTAGCCAGAGCCGATAGAATTCCGGCCAACAAGTTCAGATATAGTTGGAATTGCGCCACGAGAGAATGAACCTCTGGAATGCGACACTGTGCGTTATCATCACCCAGCAGCACTGGAAGATATGTAAAGTTTGGATCTTTGGTCGCTTTCTCCGCGAAATAGTCTCTGCAGACCAACGTAAGGATCAAGTTGACTTTCGGCACAACTGTCCCACCAAAACCGATCATATATAGTAGGAGGAATGGTAGTAGCCAGAAGATCTAGTCGAGTATAGGTCAGCTCCGAACACCGATTGAAATGTCAGTCTTACTCACACTGGCACTTCTCCAAGATTTTCTGGGCTCTGTGACGGGCGCATCTGAACTATCATCTGGGAGTCTCGGTTCCCCATAGCTTGGCGTACTACTGCTTCCTTGCAGCAGAGGTGTTTGAGCATCGACTTGCACTTGTACTGGACTCTTCGTGCTAGCCGGTCTGGACCGGGGTTGCGCGTCGACGTCGGTACCCACCGTGAAGGGTGCCTCGCTCTCCATTGTTTTTTATATAACAAACTGAGAAGCTATCAATAAATTAAGCCTGTATTCGGATTCATTGGTGATACCAATTGGGATGCAGACCAGAAAAAAAAAATGGGCGAAGGGTGAAGAGCTGATGGAGCTGAGCTCAAGGTGAATCGGCGATCTCGATCCTCCCGATAAGATAAGATAACGTTGATATGAGCCCAGATTGTTTGCTCTACGCACTCGCTTATTGGGGAATATATACTTGTTTCGGTGTTACAGCCAACAAAGCATATGCAGTAAGTATGGTGCAAAAAAACGTCATCCGAGGGACTCTTCAATGCCATTGTCACGTTTTAAAACCCCGCATCCCGTTGTGATACAAAATGTGGTAATCAATACACCAGAGCACCAGAGATCTATGTACAAGAGTCGACTCCGCTCTGGACTAGCAGCTTGCGGTATTGAAAGTGAAACCAAAGAATGGGGGCTGGAGTCGCACGTCTCCCTGTTGGATCTCGCTAACAGAACAGATTACTAAAATGAATTACACAGGACGACGTTCCTTGTCGACGTGTACGCTGACTTCGGAGAGATTATCCATCTGATCTGAACCGGAATCAAGAATAGGAATGCCATTGGAGAAATGCATTCCATATAAATGATTAAGTAGACTCCTCCAGTTCCAGAAGAGACTTGGCCGCGTCCACAATGGTTTCCTCAAGTTCACGATACTTGAGACCCAACACCCGCTGCGACTTGGATGTGTCGACTGTATGAACATCAGAGGAGACGGCTCCGGTTCCAGGGCGTCTGATAGACACGCGGTCCCGCACCTCTGGCAGGTTCTCCCGTAGAGCATCGACAAATTGCTGATACGTGAAGTTACCTTAGCAGACGAAGATGCGCTCTCTATCGGCCTCAGGAACATCGTAAGCACGGAGATGCGCTTCAGCGACATCGCGAACATCCACAACCGAGAAGAAGTGGTTTTCCGGGGCTGGGTCGCTGGGTTTAACGTCAGGAGACATCAACCGATAGATATCTGCCGAAGAGGAGTTCAAACTGGCCAGACTGGCAGTCACGTTGATGTTGGGACCGTATTTCATTGGAGGCATAATCTTGCAATATCAAAGTGAGGGTTCTTGGTCTTGACGAAGTCTCAAGCAGCACGCTCAGCTACCGTCTTTGCAGTGGCATATACCAACGCCCCAGGGGCATCTTTGGCGGCAACGACCTCGTATGTTGCCGGGTTCCAATCTTCCTCCGAGTATACGTGGCCGGGCCATCTACCTTTGGCGATATCGATCATAGCAACGAAAGATGAGGTGAAGATGATTCGCTTGACTTGAGGGACGTGTTTGGAGACGAAATCGAGGATGTTCAAAGTCCCGTTGACAGCAGGCTTCAGCAGGTCTCGCTTGTTGTCCGTCGAGTTGGTAAGGGGTCGCAGTGTGGGCCACACCGTCAACACCTTTGACTGCAGTATCAAAGGACCGGTCTTTCCCACATACTTGGCAAAGTTCAATTGCAACCAAAAGACCTTCCCTCAGTAGTTGAGACTGATGAAACTGTTCCTCAGATGGAATAGCCCACGCTGAGAAAGGATGCCACCGCATGGGTGACCATGTAGCCGGATGATCCCGTGATAAGTATAAGCTGGTTTTTTAAGACCGACATATTGAGACAGGGTTTAAAAGACAGAGAAGTGTATAAGAAAGAAGTGATAGTTCAGAGTTGATTGCGAGAATCTGAAAGGAAAAAGGGAACGATGTTATACCACATTGATTCTCAGGCCCTCTGTTAACTCCTATTAACTCCGGCATTTCCTCCGTCGAGAACAACATCGCCGGTGGACTTTTCAGTATTAGCACAGCATTGAAGGGATGCGGGAAAAGTTCGGATAATGTGGTGGCAGCTGACAAATTGGGGTTTCATTGATAAGAACCATGGTGCATCATACCAAGCCAAATGCATACAGAGGAAATAGAGGAGTGAAACCAGTAGGAACAAGAGGAACAGACAAAGTGGGAATCGGCCAGTACTTGGTTATTTTGAGTCGGATCTTCAGAGACAGATCAGTGGGGCCTATCTTGTGTCAATCTTGCATTATTCAGCGTTCCGAAAACCCTTCTTTCGCCTTCCGAAGCCACTTATTTCCCGAATACAATCGGATATCGATGCTTGGCACTGACTCATTTAGTCCAGGACATGTCCTGTCTAGTAACGTCTTCTAGAAACGTCCGTTGCGGTTTTAAAGGATGCGGAGACGAATTATTTCTGCAAGAATTGGAGAAAAGTCATGATAGCGTTGATAGGAATGGCATCCCCTCATTGATGACAAAATGTCTTCCCCTCACCCTAATTTCTCAGCCCCAACCCTCGCCGACTGCATGGTATTATCGGTTTTGAGTTGGTCCCGGCATTTTTTCAGTTACTTAAGTGTGTAGCTTTCCTTCTCTTTCTCTTCTCATCAATCGCTTCATTGAATCTGTATTCATCACTCCGTTCCACTATGGCCAGCACTGTCGGACAGGTATGATTCCTTACCCAATACTATCTTTTGTTGATGAGAAACTGATCAGCTGAATGCGCAGTCCATCACTTGCAAGGTAAGACTCGACCTTCAGGAGATGCCGCTGTTCCTCGTCTTACTCGAACCTTCTGCATAGGCTGCTGTCGCATGGGCTGCCGGCGAGCCCCTTTCCGTCGAGGATATTGAAGTTGAACCACCCAAAGCCCACGAAGTCCGTATTCAAATTCATCACACTGGTGTCTGCCACACAGATGCGTACACCCTCTCCGGAAAGGATCCCGAAGGAGCGTTCCCTGTGGTCCTTGGGCACGAAGGTGCCGGTATCGTCGAGTCTGTTGGAGAAGGCGTTACATCCGTGAAGCCCGGTGACTATGTTGTTGCTCTTTAGTGAGTCCCATCCTGGTCCTGTAAGCCTGGATCGAGCGGCTAATTTCTATCAGTACCCCCGAGTGTCGCGAATGTAAATTCTGCATGTCTGGTAAAACGAACCTGTGCGGGAAGATCCGTGCCACCCAGGGTAAGGGTGTCATGCCAGATGGCACATCGCGATTCAGAGCCCGCGGAAAAGAGCTTCTGCATTTCATGGGAACCTCCACATTCTCACAGTATACAGTTGTTGCAGACATTTCTGTTGTGGCTGTGACACCAGAGATTTCCACTGAAAAATCATGCTTGCTTGGCTGTGGTATCACCACTGGCTATGGCGCAGCTGTGGTCACTGCTAATGTAGAAGAGGGTTCCAATGTTGCTGTATTTGGTGCTGGCTGTGTTGGACTCTCTGTTATCCAGGGTGCAGTCAAACATAAAGCAGACAAGATCATTGTGGTGGACGTTGATGACTCCAAGAAGGAGTGGGCACAGAAATTCGGTGCTACTGACTTTGTGAATCCAACCAAGCTGCAGCCAGGCAAGACAATCCAAGAACAGCTGATCGACATGACTGATGGCGGGTGTGACTATACCTTTGACTGCACTGGTAATGTGGGTGTGATGCGGGCTGCGTTGGAGGCGTGCCATAAAGGTTGGGGTCAGAGTATCGTCATTGGCGTAGCAGCTGCTGGCCAGGAAATCTCAACAAGACGTAAGATCCCGTTTCTGCCATCCACCGGTATATATATATATATATACTAACAGAATGATAGCATTCCAACTCGTCACTGGCCGTGTATGGAAAGGCTGTGCTTTCGGCGGCATCAAAGGTCGCTCGCAGCTGCCGGGTCTTGTAGACGACTACCTCGGCGGAAACCTGAAGGTGGATGAGTTCATTACGCACCGCGAGTCGCTGTCCGATATAAACACAGCGTTTGGATTGATGAAAACAGGAACATGCATTCGCTGTGTGGTGGACATGTCGTGAATGGAAACTAGGAATCTTGGATGCGCCACAAAGTAGCAGCTTGGAAAACACACCCGAGATAGACTCGGAGAGCCCTCTTAAATAAAATTCTTGCAACCATCAGGGTCCCTTGATTGTGCTCGGTAGATCAGCGAAGATAATTCAATCTACCTTGCTTGTGCGTAGGAATTTACACCCGAATCGGCTCATTTCCTGGCTCTCCTGCAATCCCCAAGATACGAGGATCATGGCATCGATTACCTCACCGGAAACCGATCCAGCTCTCTGGGCAATGGGTTTAAAGTATGGCATAATGACGGGTGTGGCTTGACTTGGTATTACGGCTTGGTGGATGGGGAGGACCGGCGGCCTGAGAGTGTGCCTCCCATGCTTTGGTTCCTTGTACTTAGACCAGTCACATTCTGGCTGGGTGTATATCGTGCTGTGCGACAAAAAGATTAAGTCAGTTTCTCGGGAAGGCATACGGTATCGAGTCTTTATGCAAACCAGAAGTCCACACCAGACAGCCCAGTTCCATCCTCCAAATACCGGCCAAAAAGAGAGAAAAAGAAAAAGAAAAAAAAAAAATGATAATAATAAGTAAGCGCAAAAAAAAGAACGTCCCCGGGAAGGCTCGAACTTCCAACCTCCTGATAACAGCTCATGAGCATAACAGTCAGACGCGCTAGCCTATTGCGCCACGGAGACAGATTATCTTAGTTTACTCCATCAAGCGTTTGGCATCCAAGCAATAATGGCATCATGCATACACCGTACGATCTTGAAGTACCATAGCACGGTTGGACGCTGGTGTTCGATGGGTCTGCTCCCACTCATATCAATTTATCCAGGTCTTAATTCCGGCGAACGGGCGATTCGGAAAGTATCCAGGAGGGTGCCATCACAGATTGCATTCCGTCGCCTTGATCTTCAATCTGGAAGGAGCTTCCGTATCAATGATCCGTCTCTGGATGTCATATCCGTTGGAACTCGCCAAGGGAATGCATAGCAGCTGTTATCGCAATAACCACGAATCGCGCGGTATGGATAGGTATGCCCGGATTCCGTTAGTCGGGGATCATAAAGCTATGGTAGACATATTGAGCTTTCATTCAAGGTTGCTTGGTCCGACGAGAGTTTCCAGTATGTGACTGTGTCACTAATAGTCACGTCACTACCTGTGTACTACTTCCAGGCTATGCCTCATGGGGGATGGATAAGAGCAAAAATAATAGCGAAGAGAAAGAGAAAATAAAAAGAAAATAAAAAGAAGAGACGTTGGCAGACTGGGTGTTGTATGGAGGGGGAATGAATGAAGGTCAAAAAAAAAAAAAAAAAAAAAAAAAAAAATAGCGTCCCCGGGAAGGCTCGAACTTCCAACCTCCTGATTAACAGTCAGACGCGCTAGCCGATTGCGCCACGGAGACTAACTTGTTGTGGCAGATAATATTTTTGCGCCTATTCAGGCAGACACAGTACAAACCCTGTTAGCTCCGGATCTTCGCTCCAAATCTGGGTTAGTTCCCGGTCGATAAGTCGAAGTCAATCTCGATTTTGTTGAGATCTAGATTTTTTGAGTGAAAGAATTTTCTTCATCGGCTTACAGCTACACGGATCATCGTGAGAGAGTGTCGTAGCAAAGTGTGCCTACGCCTTTGTTGCTGCCTTCCGATGCCACCCTCTCTATGGAGTACAAACGGTTCTCTTGCTGTACATCGCCTATGTGGCTATGAAAAACACCATGACAGACTTCTGACAGTGTCCAGAGACTATCCGGAGGTCTTCAGTCATTCGATGGCACGAATAACGACTGTGTTCTGATTGTTACACTGGCGTCACGGCGTTTACTGGTCAGGCAGAGATGAATGCGCTTCGAAAAGACTGTTACCCAAGCGGTAGGCCGTATCACATCCCCAGATATAGCGGATTTCTCACGATTTCCCTCCAATCGTGCTTGTTCGAAATTCTGTGACAGCCTCTCCAAGAACAGTGGCCTTTCTCGTTGAGGAAAACTTCCGGATTCCCACGTCATACTTCTGTGTCGGACTCATGTAAATTACAGACTCAAGGAAAGTGGTCACATTCCCTAAGTGGGATATACAATTCCGACAAAGAGCACTGAGGACCCGGCGGGGCGGGATTATATATAACCTCCAGCACTGAAATGCCATATCAACGATTGCAGCAGCTCGACCAGTCGACTCTCTCGCACCGACCACCATGACTTCGATTTGAGCATGTTTTTTTTTATAGGGACTCAGAAGCCATATCCAAGCAAATGGTCTAGAGCCGACACATCGACACATAGCCTTCTCTTGCCGGTTTGATCATCTCCGTCATGGCCATGGGATTTATCATGACGCGTGAGAAGCCGCTTGGACGGGAAGCCGGAAGGGGGCTACCCAATGCGTGAAGACAAGTTACCTTATCGCCAACCAGATATGGTTTATGGGTGGCAGCTGGTGTACGGGAAATTGGTCAGGCTTCACCTTGCAACATAGATCGGCCATATGGATCTCTATATTGGGCCCGAGTCTCTTAACAATACGTCTCCGTGGCGCAATCGGCTAGCGCGTCTGACTGTTAATCAGGAGGTTGGAAGTTCGAGCCTTCCCGGGGACGCTATTTTTTTTGCTCTTTTTTATTTTTCTCCAATGTAAAAATTCATTTTAGGCTTAAAGCACCCCGGATAGCACTGCATATGCGCGAATAACCATCTGTCGTCCCCATCCGATTCGCCAATTCAATCGTCAACACCAACAATACTCCGAGGTATACCCGCCGCACCCGCGTTTCACCGTAGCCCACCTGGGCAAGACGACATCATTGGCATCATGGAATCCACAGAAAATACTCAAGGGAGAACGCAGGATTGGATCGCCCCACAATGTTCCAGTCACTTACTCCACGGTAGGGCGAGTCTACTCCGTAGCTTCAGATCATATAAGAAACCTGCCCCTCCATCGACCCCTCCATCCCACTTACCCCGATTTCAAGCTCAATTGACAAAATAATAACACACACCAAACCACCAAAATGGTCTACAACATCGTCGTCCGTACGTCATCCTTCACTCACTATCCGATTCCTTCAAAGCCCTCCGTACTAACCTAAACCAGACATGCGCGCAAAGCCCGACCAGGAATCCATCCAGAAGCTGCACGCCAAACTCCTCGAAGCCTCCGCCGTCTACTCCAAGGACCACGAGACCCTCTCGTGGTTCGTCATGCAGTCCGTCCACGACCCCCAGGACTTCTGCATCGTCGAGCGCTACCTCCACGAGAGCTCGCAGAAGTACCACCTCGAGAACCCCTACTGGAAGACCTTTGACCCCTACGTGATTCCTCTGCTGGAGAAGGAGATGGACTTGCGCCGGTTCGAGGAGCTTGTCTAAATGTCGGAATTTTGTTGTGAGGAATTTGCGTCATGATGTTATAGTTACAGAGCATAGAAATCTTGGGTCGTTGATCGATCGGTAAATTATCCAAACGTCGCTCGCTCTACGTAGTAGTACAACCGTAGATTCGATTAAACATGCTCTTCAAAAACCAAATAAAAAAGAAAAACGACTTAATTGCTGTGCTAAACAAACGACGGGAAAAAAGCAAAAAAATTCGTCCCCGGGAAGGCTCGAACTTCCAACCTCCTGATTAACAGTCAGACGCGCTAGCCGATTGCGCCACGGAGACGTCTTCTTAAATTTTGGCCAACCAAAAGCGATACAATAGGCTTATACAAAATTTTAAACCAAAAACAAAGCTATTGTTCGGAAGGCAACCACGTCCATACAACATCATCGACAAACAAGGAGCCTATGGTTGCATAATGAAATTATCGGAAATAGAACTTCAATCATGGGATGACTGATTCTAAAGCGAGCCAGTGCCCTTCGCTGGCCTACGTAAATTTCTTAAGAGTCGACATGCAAGCTTTACGTTACGGAGATGCAAGAAACGCAACTGAAGCGCATTGAAACACTACTAGAGGATTAACACACAAGATAACGCAATTGTCACCCAAAAGTTGTAAAGATGAAGAACAAAGGAAACGAGAAAGTCGGAATTCTGTATATAGCCGTCAAAAAGCCGACTAAATATACTCAAAATCGGCAACCCGACAAGTCGCCGAACTAACATCGGCCAGAACTGACCGGTATCTTTCTTTGATTAGACTAGATTTGTGGAACATGAATTATCTTCTCATCCAAACACCATGACGACTCGTGTACCAGCTCGATTTCGAGCACGTTCAGTCCGTCCTCGCGCTCTTCCGTTGCGCATTCGACCATTCGCATATTCCTCTCCCAATAGCTTTACTCGAACGCCCCGTTTAACGCACGCACCATTCCAGCTCCAAAACTTCCTAGAATCAGAGATACAACGCGGCCAGCGATTTTTTGGTACCTCAACCCCCCGAAATGCGAATACCAAGATCGTTAATGTCCCTCAAATGGCCGAATCTATATCCGAGGGCGTCCTTGCCTCTTACACCAAGCAAGTGGGCGACTATGTCGAGTTGGATGAAGAACTAGCTTCAATCGAGACAGACAAAATTGATGTCGCCGTGAATGCGCCTGATATTGGAACAGTAACCAAGTTGTTGGTTGGTGGAGGAGATACGGTTACAGTCGGGCAAGCCCTCATCGAGATCGATGTGGATGCGCGCGAGAAACCAGCTTCATCTGTGGCGTATTCAAAACCGCAGGAGGTCCAGTCTCCAGCGGAACAAAAGCAAGAGAAGATAGAAGAGGCATCTGTACCACCGAAACAGCAACAACCAGTGGCTCCAGTAGTGTCTTCGTCATCGTCCCAGGAAGCATCAATGTCTGCATACAGTGGCAGCCGCGCTGAGAAAAAGGTTACCAATAACTAATATTTCCCTGCCCCCCAATCAGTTATGCGATGCTCATTGATCGTTTCTTCGTACCAGGTCAAAATGACACGAATGCGCATGCGCACAGCTGAACGTCTGAAAGAATCGCAAAATACAACCGCATTCCTGACGACCTTCAACGAAGTCAATATGTCTCAGGCTATATCCATGCGGAAACAATACAACGATGAGGTTTTCGACAAGCAAAATGTGAAAGTAGGATTCATGGGTCCGGTGGCTCGCGCCTCTTCTCTGGCTTTAAACCAGATTCCGGCTGTGAACGCTGCAATCGAGAACGACGATACGATAGTATTTCGCGATTATGTCGACCTGAGTGTAGCAGTCGCCACACCTAAGGGCCTTGTGACGCCTGTGCTCCGGAATATCGAAAGTAGGAATCATGTTGGTATTGAACAAGGGATAGCGGAACTGGGAAAGAAGGTACACATATACTCGTGTACTTTCTTTGATGCAGACAATTCAACAACTCATTTCCTTCTCAGGCTATCATTTTAACACTCCTATAACCCTTCTATAGCCATCCTCATGCAACATGGCCCCAATTCGTGCAGCTAAGCCCAACTGCAGTATAAGCTATCTAATCTATCAAGCAAGGAAGTTTGACCTTTTCCTTAGGATAACGGTGGTCTGCCCGTGGGCTGGACCAATAATCCCAGAAAGATGACAGTTAAGACAATGTGGACACACCCATCTGATCCTGGTATATCCACAACAAGGGTGTACAATCTCGAGCAGCCCATGCCTGTAATCTGCACTATAGGGGAATATGGATTTTACATGGTTATTTTTGAATCATATGGCAAGTTCTACCTCTGGGAAGAGTTTAAATTTGATATTGAGCTCATTGAGTATCCTACTATATTTGACATTATACGGGTGATAAAAATGGATGGATTGAAGGGTCATAAGTTTAAGATGCTTGGGCAGCCTTACAGTGATGATGAGGAAATATAAATGAGGGGTTTGCGCTTTATAACTGAAGGTGAAAATGTATTGATGTGTTTGGTTATTCCAATGTACTATCTCCGAAATGTAAGCCCCATGGAGTTCAATTTTTTACGATTGAGTAATAAGATGGTCGATAAAACCTATTCTCGGTACCGTTGGTACTCGTAGTCCATTATGATAAACAACTTACTATCGTGCGCCAAACTTGTCAACCTAATTAGAACTACTTGCATAATCAACAATGTTTCATAGGATATGTGATCTGTACTCCCTATGACATTTGCAAGCTCATTTCCAATTTCCCTCTTTTCAGTTTCTATCTCTTCTTTCAACTTCAATCATTACCCGTTTGATTCTCCTCTCCCCTAAGATGGGTCGACATAATCAAGCTAAGCCCAGAGTAAGTACCTTTATTTATCCAATCCATGGAGCAAAAAGTTCTGATTTTTCTCTTTCCAGGTTGATGTCTTTATGCCCGTGGGCTGGACCGACAACCCCAAAATGCTGGACAGGGAGCGTTATTGGAAGAGGTCGGGCAGTCCTGGTGCAGAAATGGCATGGGAGTACAACCTTTGAAAGCCCTGAGCCCATTCTGTGCACCACAGGGCGGTATGGAGATGTGATGCTCGTGTTTTAATCATGCAGCAAGTTCTATTTATGGGAGGAAATGGAAGATATAGTTTGTCAAATTGGAGATTTTACCCAAGTAGAAGATGTTATTCAGGAAATGAAAAACAAGAAGAATTGGATGAATCTCGACTTGAAGGAATTTGAGGCTCGCGAGGAGATAACTAATTATTAATTAATTGAATGGAGGTGAAGGTGCAAACGTATATGCTCTGAATGTAAGCAGTTTTTCTTCATTTTTCTATGATGAGTATCACAAACACAATGTACATTTAAACCACAATATCCAGCAAAGATTTTTCGGATGTCGAGTGTATGCATCAATAATGGTGAGCGATTTCTGATACCGTTGATACAACATCCATGCTAACCATACAGACCCACAACAACAGTTTCTTCCAAGGCAACATTGCTGAATTTGAGAGGACGGGGGAAAGGGCGCTTATATCCCTGTTATTGATTACACAAGTGAGTCATGATTAGGATAGAGGAACCTACTAAAGTCTCGCATTATTTCTCAGCGCTCACAAGTCTAGTCTGCCTATACTCCGGGACGCCGCATGTATATAATTTGATTGAGATCATCCAAAACAAAAAACCAAACTCAAATAGCAAATACATATGCATCCTTCCTAGATGATAGTACGGAAACCCCTCAACTAATTCATCCTCCAGTATCCTCTTCTCCTATAACCTCCCTCTTGGCAGCCTCTTTCTCAATAGCCTCATCTATTAGATTCACCAATCTAAGCGCATCAAGCCCCTTACCCTTGATCGTCAGAACAATATCGTCCTCTGTTGTAGGATCATCGATACGATATATTTCACCTCTAATCATTTCGATAATGTAGAACTTGCCACCCGACTCAAACAGGCCCAACATATCTCCAGATGGCGGCGCGCTGCAAATGACAGAGCGAACATCCTCGGAATCCCAAAATTCCATAATGCGCTCGATGTCCTGTTCCTCAGGGTCGTCGGTCCAAGGTGAGTTGGTTGACTAATCTCATGAGTACTCATTGATCTTCAACAAATACCACTAGACCATAAAAAGGCGCTGGACGCTAGATCATGATTAATAGGTGTTCTATTTCCTTTAACACACTGTATTTATGATACATACCTTGGTCATTTGATTGGTACCTAGTTTTGCGGCTAGTGTTTTGGCTGTGGCGCTCAAAAATAATAAGAGAGTATTCAGCAGTGAAACTGGTTTTGCTGCCGACTGTACTTTCTTCCCGTTCAATTCAACCTAGATACACGATGACTGATAACTGTCTAGTCCTAGACAGATGTTTAGCTACGGAGTAGTTGACTATTTGCACCGGTTAAATGAGTACCGTGAAAATCGCTTCTTGCATTGCTACCATCTCCTGTGTGTAATCCGTGCTGCATATCGTTTTCAGCAGTAGCAGATGGTGATGATGATGATAATGAGATCCATTCATTCAAAAAATTTTTTTTTTTTTTTTTTTTTTTGACAGTCAAGATGGGCCAAGGATAGAAGATCATATGTATGATATGAAAAATATACAGTTAGAGAAGAGAAACGTGATACGTATATGGATGCCGTTTTCAGACATCATGAACCAGTCACCAGATAACGCCAAACCAACGGTGTATCGGTATATCAAATGCACCAAAACCAAGAGGAAATATTATACCAGAAGAGAAAAGTGCTTACAGAACAAGCGAAGCGCCTTGTTCGCCTGCAAAGAATTTCTTCTGCTCTAAGCATCTCTCGCTGCGGCATCCCTGGCAGCGCAGAGTCATCTGCATTGAGCATGGCTCATCTTTCTGCAGATGGGCTTTCGCAATGTCTGCAAGAGCCTCGATGAAAATCGGGTTATCGTTCATACTCTCGGCCCGCTTGACGCCCGGAAGGTGGCCGGCGTCTTCCATCACCTCGAGATCCAGTTCGTAGAGGGTTTCAATGTGGTCACTGGTGAACGCAATGGGTACGAGAACGATGTCGGTATGCCCACGCTTCACGTATTCCTGGACAGTGTCGCTGGTCTGGGCACCTAGCCAAGCGGAGGGTCCCACCTGGGATTGCCAGCACAGACGGTAGGGGTTGCTGAAGTTCAATCTCTGCATGACCGCATTGACAGTGGCAGCAACTTCCGCCGGGTAAGGATCACCTATAATCTTATTAGCCAGCCGTCCATGCAAATATCATTTGTTTCATTCATACCTCTGTTCACGACGCTCATAGGCAAGCTGTGTGCCGAGAACAATAACACCGCGCTGCTCCTCTTCTCTTCAGGGTATGTCGCGAGTTGAGCCTCAATGTTCTTCGCGAATGCTTCAATCAATCCGGGGTGAGTTGGCCAGCGGTCGATGACACTCCATTGCACCGTGCCAGTAGGGTCCACATCGCCATTTGCACGTTTGCCCTCCAAACGATTCCGCCATTTCCATAAATCATTAAGCGAACTGCCGGTGGTCGAGCAAGAATACTGCGGGTATTGTGTAAAAGCGACTGCACGTCCTCCCCTCCCTCTCCCAAATCCATCGTCAAGCAGCTTGGTGTACATCTCTTCGGTCAAAGGATCGGCATAGCGGAATGCGACGTATGGCTTGTGCGGGGCGGATTCGGGGTTAATCTTGTCTAGAATCTTGCACATCTCTGTGCATTGATATTCAGACCACTTCCGGATCGGCGATCCACCTCCGATTTCTGCATATTGTTTCTGGATCTTCGGCGTTCTTCTCTTCGAGATAAGCGGTCCGAGATATGGTTGGAGTCGTCCGAGAGGAATTAAATCACCGTCGGCCTTTGTGTGAGAGACTGAAGTCAGCCATAATGTCCGAGTATAGCTTCCCCGCACGAAAACATACAAATAACCTGCTCAAGAAGGATTCCACTTCATCTGTTGTTGATGGCCCTCCCATGTTCATAAAAACCATGGCAGTAGGTCCTTTTGACGATGTCCCATCCTGTGTCACTGGAGGAACAGCGGTTGCCAAACCTGCTCGTTGGCTTAGAAAGTTCCTAGTAACTGAGCGTGACCCCGAAAGAGCACTATTTAGTGCCCGGGGAGGAGGGCGGAAAGCCATAGTCGAGTCGGTTTATGCCACCTAGCCTTTTCGAAGTTGAACCAATTCCAGCGAAACAAGGTACCGGTAGTGATTGACAAGAAAGAGACCAAACCGGCTTAAAACCAATGAATTCAGTGGCAAGAAGATCAATAATAGCTTATGGTATGGCACCGCCGGAAAGCTGAAGATGAAGTCCAGAACGGGTTGATGACGGAGCAGCGCCATCAACCAATCAGAGTCAAGTAACGGTAATCAGGTCTTGGCGTGGTCACATGATGCTCGTGTCTCTTCCGCGTCGGTCATCGCGTGTCCCGTGACGAAATAGGCAGCAGAGCCCCATGGCGTTTATATACCGGCTGTTTATCCCCATGTCAACCACCACCATCCGTCTCTGTGACCACTGTATAGTAGCGCAACATGGCTGACGATAACCGCGACGAAGGGATTTATGTGGAGGAGGAGGAAGAAGAGGAGATTGATGAGTCGGTTAGCAATACGTCATTCCCAGCAAAGCAGTACTAGCTTGGTTGGGGTTGAATGCTGATAGTCTGCACTAGGCGTACAAGTCCGTGAAAGATGCCGTTCTGTTTGCAATCGAAGTCAGCGACTCTATGCTTGCGCCCCGCGCCTCTTCAGACCCCAAGCAGCCCACCGAGGAATCACCTACGACCGCAGCCCTGAAATGCGCGTACCACTTGATGCAGCAGCGCATTATCTCCAACCCGCATGATATGATAGGAGTCTTGCTATACGGGACAAAGGCATCTAAGTTCTATGACGAGGATGAGAATAGCCGGGGAGGTCTCTCATACCCACACTGCTACCTCTTCACGGATCTAGACGTTCCATCAGCGCGGGAAGTCAAGGATCTGCGAGCACTGGCTGAGGGCGAAGACGAGGCTAGAGATATACTTGCGCCATCGACGGAGCAAGTCTCTATGGCCAACGTATTGTTCTGTGCAAACCAGATATTCACCTCCAAGGCTCCTAACTTCCTATCTAGACGGTTGTTCATAGTGACGGACAATGACAACCCCCATAGCGACAGCAAGTCTCTGCGGTCTGCTGCGACGGTCCGTGCAAAGGACTTATACGACCTCGGGGTTACTATCGAACTCTTTCCGATTTCTCCTTCGGAGCAAGAGTTCGACAGTTCCAAATTCTATGACGTAAGAGTGCCTGATTGCCTGTGATAATATTGTGCTCACCCGCCCCAGGATATCATCTACAAGGCTTCTCCTACGGACCCAGAAGCTCCTGCTTACCTTAAACCCGACACGAAAACCGAAACGGCAGGGGCAGATGGGATCACGCTCCTCAACTCTCTTCTGTCGAGTATCAACTCTAGATCAGTTCCTCGCCGTGCAGCGTTCTCTAATATCCCCTTCGAAATTGGACCTGGCTTTAAAATATCCGTGAACGGCTATTTGCTCTTCAAACGCCAAGAACCGCACAGAAGCTGCTATGTCTGGCTTGGGGGCGAAGAGCCTCAGATTGCCCAGGGAACCTCGACTCGAATTGCAGATGATACCGCACGCACGGTCGAGAAGCAAGAGATCCGCAAGGCATACAAATTCGGAGGCGAACAAGTCACATTCACACCTGAAGAGCAGTTGACACTGCGGAACTTTGGTGACCCAGTCATCCGTATCATCGGCTTCAAATCTCTTTCAGCGCTGCCATTCTGGGCCAACGTGAAGCACCCGACATTCATCTACCCGTCGGAAGAAGACTTTGTAGGCTCGACACGAGTCTTCTCTGCTTTGCACCAGAAGCTTTTCCGGGATAAGAAGGTTGCGCTAGTCTGGTTCATTCCTCGAAAGAACGCAGCGCCCGTTCTTGGTGCGATGATGGCTGGTGAGGAAAAGCTAGACGAGACCGACGTGCAGAAATTCCCGCCGGGAATGTGGATTATCCCTATTCCTTACGCAGATGACGTTAGACAGAACCCAGAGACGGCCATGCAGGTGGCGCCAGTGTCGCTGATTGACAAGATGCGTGTGGTCATCCAGCAGCTGCAGCTCCCGAAGGCAGTCTACGAGCCACTCAAATATCCCAATCCATGTGAGTATACAATGCGCCATAGCCTCTCATGTAATGTGGCAACATACTGACTTAGACCAGCTCTCCAATGGCACTATCGTATCTTGCAAGCACTTGCTCTGGACGAAGACCTCCCTGAAAAGCCCGAGGACAAAACGAAACCGAAAGCCAAACAAATAGACAAGGTAAGCTGTGACCTCTAGACGTTTTGCGGATATCATACCCGAATCATTGGACTAACACTATCTCCCCCAGCGCGCTGGCGAATATATTGAAGCATGGGAGAACGAATACGCAGAACTAGCCGCTGCTTTTCCCGCCAAAACAACACTTGTGAAGCGAGGCGCAAAGGGGGCAGAAGATGGCCACGCGACGAAGAAAGCGAAAGTAGACGCTGGACCCAAGGGCTCTGAGGATGAGGTCCGGAAGCACTATGAGAAGGGAACCATAGCCAAGGTACGCTTCCCTTTCTGCATAGCTCTTTTGGGTTTTGTTACTAACGCGCTGTTGGTGTAGCTCACCCTGCCAATCCTGAAGGAATTCCTCACCAACCATGGTCGCTCTACTGCGGGGAAGAAGGTGGATCTCGTTGACCGAGTCGAAGAATACTTCGAGAAGAAGGCGTAATGGCTGTAATTTGGCTTTGCTATAATGAGCAATGTATTTTCAGGATTTTATCGTGACGAGTAATGACATTGATTAAGGCAAGAAGACGCAACCTCCATGCAATTGCCATCTATTAGGGATCATGAGCAACAGCCTCAATATCCACACGCATATCATCTTCACCCAAACGCGACACCCCAACAACAGTCTAAAGAGACTCATGATTAGGCATATACCTCTTGAAATTCCGAACCATAGCTTCCAACACCTCATCGTTCAACGGAACATGGTAAGAGTGAATACGAAACACCTGTTCCCACAAAAGATTCATGCTTAACAATCAATGTATATTGAACATCGAGACTATATAGTTAAAAGAGCGGAATCAATTAACTTTTGATTTTCAATTATCTAGGGTGTTTAATCCACCCATAATTCCTCATCATGGCTCAAACCAAAGTACTATTCACCGGAGCCACCGGCTACATGTATGCCACCCATCCAAATCGAACACAGAACCATATTAATGCAAAAACCAGCGGAGGCTCGGTCCTCACAGCTCTCACAACCTCCCAAAATCCAGCCATTAAGAACGGCACCAAGGTCACCGCTCTGATCCGCAAACAAGAGCAAGCGCAGGTCCTTGACAGGGCGGGTATCAATGCTCTGCTATTCAACGGTTTGGACGATGTTGCGCAAATGGAGCGCTTGGCGAGGGATCATGGTGTAAGAAAGGACTTTCAGCGCTGGGTGTGGCTAGCAGCTGATGCTACGGGGCAGTGGTGATTCATACCGCGTCGACTCTGCATACGGAGACAATTGAAGCGATGATTGCGGGCTTGGGTGCTAGGAAGAAAGATACCGGAAGAGAAATCTTCTTCATCCATGTACGTGTGCCTACGATCAGGAAACAGACAAACATACTCTAATTTATGCAGACCGCAGGAACAGGCAGCATAGCCGACCGCCCCATCACACTCTTACATCTCAGAAGCAGACCACATCCTCTCTGACAAAACCGACAACATCTACAGCTACTTCAAAACCCGCCAGTCAACCGAAAACCTCCCCGTCCGCCGCAGCGACGTCGCCGTCATCGAAAAAAGCCTTACCCTAAACGTCCCCACATACATCCTCATGAGGAGGTGGGGTCTATTTCGTTGGAGGATGCGGCTGGGAAGTGGTTGGGTGGGAATACGGTGTTTACGGAGACTGTGTTTGCTTCGAAGTGAGTGTTTTTCTTTCCATTGCTTGCCAGCAGGACGGAGCTCGTTTCCTAACGGATTGTTTTGCTATACAGCGCGAGGGCCAGGTCTGATCTAGCGTGGGAGCTGGGCTGAAAGCCTGAGTTCGATGAAACCCATCTCCAGTTTGCCATTGAAGCGGATATGAAAGTTATCCTGGGACTCACCAAGATATGATGCGAGGTTGCATCTCTGGGACAGTATGAAAGGGATCGAGCGATGGAACAATGGCGTTTGACAGTTGTCCTCATGTGGCATAGCAAAATTCTTATTCGCATAATATGTATATGGCTATATCCGAAACTGCTCTCACGAAGACCGCAAGGTCTGAGAAGACCAGAGAGAGCGTAAAATGTACAAAGGTGCAGTGGCGGGTATCTGGTGTATGTATAACACGAAAGAGATAGAAACGCCTATCCAATATAATATTCCAATGAATGAACAAATGACGAGCAAAAAGAGATGACCGGCCGTGACGGTATGATACGGCATGCTGGAGCGCGGGCCTAAAGGGGTGAAGCCAAGTCTAACATTGTCCGTAGACTTGGCAGTAGCAGAGTTCCTGGTCGGGGCAACTGAAAATTGTTAGAACTGGCTGTCGTAAAATGCGAGGAATAACTTACTAGACCGATTCCATGCCAAAAATAACATGCCACAAAAACTCCATAACACGTCCACTAACAGCATCAGACTTATCCGTATCGATAACCCACTGCCGGATCTTAATATAATCCTCCTTCGGACGCTTGTGCACCTGATCTCTCGACACAGCGAACTGCGCGCAACAAGCAGTACCGACCAACTGCGGCATCAGCATGTACTTCTGATCTTGGTCAAATCGCAAATCAGTAGCGATGTTGGCCGACTCGCTGGCGTTCAGCGGCGGCGTGCTTGTTCCCGCGAAGAGTTCCGTCCACACTTCTTCCGTGATGTGCTTGTTGTGGCGATGGTTTTCCTTACAACCCGGGTTCCAATTGCAGCGGAGGTTGACGTAGCCGTTTTGTTGGACGAAGGGGGTTTGGAGGGCCCGCATGGCGGCGGCGTTGTCGTGCAGTGGCGCATCCACGTGCCATGCCATTAGGAATCCGGAGCGATGGGAATGGAGAAAGGCGATGGTCGAGGGAAGTTTGTCGTAGTGGTCGATCACGTAGGTTAGGTAGGCCATGGACTCGTGGCCCTTGTTCACGGGTGTTGTGAGTATTCCTTCATCGGCGGAGATTGTGTTTGAGGGGTTCACGATGTAAATCGCACGTTGCCAGCTATTTTCCCGCGAGGAGTTGCGTTAGAAGTCATTCTTAGTGAGTCAGAACCGATGGAACCTACTCCGGCAATTCTTCCTCCACCCAGTTTGTCTGTTCCTCTTCCAACTTGGCCATGACAATCACCTTATCTCCTGGTGTTGTCTGCGCAGCCACATCCTTGTAGCTGGGTTGGTTGTATTTCCACCAATCGACCACATAATCGCCAGCGTGGTACTGGTTATACAAATCCTGGAGATGGCGCTCGAGGAGGTACAGCGGGACGAAGATAACTAGTAAACCGCAGCATAGAAATCGAAGTCCGCATCGCATGATGCAACGGGTCCGGAGGTAAGGACCAGAAGTGTTTTCGGACGTCGCAGAATCAAGACAGTCTGCGAGCGCAGTGGTACATGTACCGGGGCGGATATCAGGATAGTGATGAATTCATGCGAGAAAAGAAAGAAAACGGAGGTTGTAAAGGTGGAAATCACGGAGAACCATAGAGCGTGGAGGCGAGGGGTGAGAGGGAAGGTGAGGAGAGCGGAACGGCCAAGGAGTGACGGGACGGGAGGCAATTAAGAAAGCGGAACAGCCATTGAAAAGCGTCAACGGTGGGTAAGTGAGAATAAGGAACGAGGATTGGCACTAATTGCGCGTTGGTGAGGCTTAATTAGAGTTAGTTTAAACACTGAGGCGGAAAAGGAGAACCCACAAATCATACTGCCCGAGTCTCCGCCGCCAGCCACGCGTTGATGGCTTAACGGAAGTTTATTAAAGGCCCGCCGCAGCTTTAACCAGCTTTAACCGGCTTTAGGGGAGGCTTTAACTGGGGCATTGGGGCTTCCCCAGAAACGGACACTGTCAGACATCATTCTGTCAGGGATCGTTGCTGATCCTGTCGATATCGTGGTGATGCATTGTTTGCAATTCCAAAGGAAGCAACCAACAGCGATCTCCTGCATCGTACCCCTGGTATTCCTGCATTATTTCTGGAATATCCTGAGATTGTTGTCCGATGCTGACGGCATCGTGGATAAACAGTATTTGATGGAATGACTGGTGTATAGATTTAGAGTAAAGATGAAAGCGAAACAAAGTTTTTGATTTAGGAAGCAAGCGATTGATATATATATATATATATATATATATATATAAAATCTGCAAACGGCTGCATAGTTTCACCGTGTACGACAACCAGTGTCTAAATGCTACTTTGTATACAAGGACGACTAATCAGGTGGCTCCGTGGACACTACTCAATATCCAGTGAATATCATCAAACTACCTTGAGTTTTGAGAATTTTGTCTCTTTTTTTCCCTTTCCAACTTCTCATCTCTGATATGACCAAAGTTCTCTGCAATGACTTGGTACTCTTGCATCAAGCTAGTTCAACAGCTATTGTCTCATCAAGCTATGTTTAGAGAACATCGTAAATCCTCTGCAGAAGCGAGGCGATAGTTGACAAGGAGCCAATCATAATCCTAGACCACCATCTCTCCAGATTGTAATCCGATCATTGAAAAAAGCATCAAAAGAAATCCGCGAATATCATCCGCCAAGTGAGAAAATATTTCTGATATGATTATTATTTAATCAAGTTTATTGTCCATACCGAGCCCTAGAGCTATGACAGACCATTATCCGTGGACTTGAGGCCGTTAGCTATTCTACAGTCTCTTATCCCTATAAGTTCCTGGGGCACTAGCCCCCTTCCATACTCTTTCTGATCCTTTTCCTCGCCCCAGACCGCCTGTTTGCGCAGGGCTTTCGAGCACAGTGCTCTCCTTGTGTTTCGTGCGGAATGGGTGCGGCCTAGGCTGACTCCAGCTTAGGCTACCCTTCCTGCTATCCTTCTCCTGTTCGAATTGCCTCCTCCAATGCTTCCAATCCCCATTCATCGTCCCTTTGGGCCCTTTCTGC